AGAGCATCCTTATCGAGGGACACTCTCGTGAGGGAGGGCAGTCGCAGCCTCCCCGCGGCGCGCAGGTGGTTTTGGGCACTGAGAAGGAGCCTCATTTCGCCGATACCCTGATTATGGCCAACCTGGGATACTTCCAGTTCAAGGCGAACCCGGGATTTTACAACATCAAGCTCAAGGAGGGAAGGAGCACCGACATTTACGCCATCGATAGTATCGGTGCAAAGGGATGGGCTCCCGTGCCGGGCGATGAGGGCACCGAGGTGGTGCTGATGGATTTCCAAGGCACGACTCTGTACCCTCGTCTGTCACGTAAGCCAGGCCAAGAAGAGTCCGATGTGCTGGCCGAACCCGAGGACAACAGCATCGTCGGCCGTGGCCTCAAGTTCGCCGGAGGCATCCTAGGTAAAAAGAAGTCCGCGTCCGACGAGGAGCACGCCGAGATCAACATCTTCTCCGTCGCCAGCGGCCATCTCTACGAGCGCATGCTCAACATCATGATGGTCAGCGTCATGAAGAACACCAAGCACACTGTCAAGTTCTGGTTCATTGAGCAGTTCCTTTCCCCCTCCTTCAAGGACTTCATCCCGCACATGGCCAAGGAATACGGATTCAAGTACGAGATGGTGACGTTCAAGTGGCCTCACTGGCTGCGTCAGCAAAAGGAGAAGCAGCGCGAGATCTGGGGCTACAAGATCCTCTTCCTCGACGTGCTCTTCCCCCTCTCCCTCGACAAGGTCATCTTTGTCGACGCCGACCAGATCGTCCGCACCGACATGATGTCCCTCGTCAACCACGACCTCGAGGGCAAGCCCTACGGCTTCACGCCCATGTGCGACTCCCGCACCGAGATGGAAGGCTTCCGCTTCTGGAAACAGGGCTACTGGGCAAACTACCTCCGCGGCCAGCCCTACCACATCTCGGCCCTCTACGTCGTCGACCTCCGCCGCTTCCGCGAGCTCGCCGCGGGCGACCGCCTCCGCCAGACCTACCACTCCCTCAGCGCCGACCCCAACTCCCTCGCCAACCTCGACCAGGACCTGCCCAACCACATGCAGTTCCAGATCCCCATCCACAGCCTGCCGCAGGAGTGGCTGTGGTGCGAGACGTGGTGCTCCGACGAGAGCCAGCGCGTCGCCAAGACGATTGACCTCTGCAACAATCCGCAGACAAAGGAGCCCAAGCTCGATCGCGCCAGGCGTCAGGTGCCCGAGTGGACCGTCTACGATGACGAGATCGCCGCCCTCGATCGCAAGCGCAAGGGTCTGCCCGCCGAGGCGCCCAAGAAGGAGGAGAAGACGGAGGTCGTTATCGATGATGGAGCGGAACAGAAACCTGTTGTCGTGGAGGTGGAGAAGAACACAAAGAGCCGCAACTGGGAGGAGCCACCCTCGGAACAGACGCATGTTAGAGACGAGCTCTAGACAGACATCACGAATTTTTAGGTCAGGGAACCTTACGATTATGGTGTAGAGTTGCACGTAGCATTGAGCATTACATAGAAAGATAGGAAAGAAACAAACAATTGCATTCCATGGCATTTTAGTCTTCTTTCTTCATTTGATTTAATCTGGGAAAAAACGCTCGACATGCCACCACGTTTTCTCAATCGAGAATATATCTAGCTCATGTATAATGTATATACGGACCTCTCATAAAGTCCAGTATCAAGCAAAGCCCCCCGTAACACCGTCGCCATCCCAAATTCATACAACTCCCAAACACCCCTCTGTTGACTTCTTCGAACAGAAAAAACCACAAGTTCGTAATGCATGCATGCCCATAACCATCCGTCGAAACCGACGACGCTCTAATGCGAAATATACTGGAACACAGCAGACACCTCCGGCTCCCCACACTCCTGTCTCAGCAACAGATCCTGAATCGGCTTCAACCCCTCATTCACAAAGTGGTTCCACGTGCTCGTGTCGCCGTACAGCATGGCGGGCGACTTCATATACTGCCTGCCATCGGGCTTGCACCGCTTGCACTTGAACGTATCGTGCGTGTCAGATTTGGTGCCGGGCCGGTACTGGAACAGCTCGCGCAAACTGTCGAGCGAAAAGTGCCGCTCAACATCCTCGGCGGAGTCGACGACGCAACTGGACAGCGATTGCTTGTGGGACTGGCGCTGGAAAATCTTTTCCTCAATGGTTCCCGTGGCGATGAAGCGGTAGACGAAGCAGTCCTTCTTCTGGCCGTCACGCCAGACACGAGCGAGGGCCTGTTGATCTGCGGCGGGGTTCCAGTCGGGGTCGAAGAGGACCAGGCGGTTGGCGCCGATGAGGTTGAGACCGCAGCCACCAGCCTTGGAACTCAAGAGGAATACAAACTCATCTCCGTCCGGGTTGTTGAACTTGTCAACGAGCTTTTGGCGCTTATTGACGTTCATGGTGCCGTCGAGGCGCAGGCAGCCGTAAGCACGATTACGGCAGAGCTTCTCGAACAGGTCAAGCGTCTGTGTGTAATTGCTGATGAGCACAATCTTGTCGTTTGTGTCCTGGCGGATACGGGCGAGCATGCGGTCGAGGACTTGCATCTTGCCTGAGTACCATGGCTTGATATCTCTATCTCTGCCACGCGCCTCTTTCGGGACATAGTCATCGGGGAAGCAGTTCTCCGAGCCGGGCAAATCATCCGAGATGTTAAGCAGATCCGGGTGGTTGCAGAGCTTCTTGAGGATGTTGATGGCTTTGAGGGGCTGACTGCCCTTGCCACGGAGAAGCGCCTGAATGTCCGGACTGGTGATGAAGTAGTTGTAAAGATCGAGCTGGAAGGGTGCAAGATTGCAGAACACGACATGCTCGTACTTGACGGGCAAGTACTTGGACAAGATGTCGTTGGTGCGACGAATGATAAACTTATTGACAATGCCCAAGAGCTCGGACAGACACTCGTCACCCTTCTTCCTTTCAGACTCGAGGGCATCGGCGTCACGTCCGCGGAGAATCGGAAGCTCGAATCTTTTGCGGAACTCGAGCCGAGTACCAAGCAGATCCGGGTTAGCGAAGCTAATCAGGGAGAAGTACTCGGACAAGTCGTTCTGGATGGGTGTTCCGGACAGAATGACTCGTCGCGTGACATTCAAGTTGTTGAGTGCGCTGAAAGTCTGACTGTCTCCGTTCTTGAGACGATGGCCTTCATCGCAAAGCATGAGGCCGATCTTGGTGTGTTTCAGCTCTTCAACGTTGAGACGAAGGGTCTCGTAGGAAACGATAATGACTGGTCTTGTGACCGATCTGCCGCTCGCAATAGCCCACTGACGCAGCTGTCGCGTGAGTTCTTCCTTGGACGCCTTTCCGTCGATTGCAAAAGGCGTGACGGCATCGGCACCAAGCCATTTGACCAATTCGTTGGCCCAATTGCGGACCAAACTGGAAGGGCACGCAACAATGGCCTTCTGGATTGTGCTCTTTCCAGCATCCGGAGATTGCTTCAGAAGGGTCCAGAGCAAAGTGATGCACTGCAGGGTCTTTCCGAGACCCATCTCGTCGGCCATGATGCAGCCATTGGCCTTCTCCTCAATCATGCCAGTAACGCATCTGTACATGAACTTGACACCCTCGACCTGATGTGGTCTCAGAACCTTGGCCAATCGTGGGTCAATGACAACAGGAACTCGGGGGTGCTCCCCTTCGACCTTCTTCTTGATTCCGAGAATCTCCGCCAGGCTCTTGTGGACGAGAGGCGCGTCAATCTTAGTCTCGGCCTCGACATCCTTCTTATCTTCCTTCTTCTCGGGTTCTTTGGGCTTATCGTCAATGGTCGGGTCGTATAGCACAATGGCAAACTCGCCACTGGGGTCGTGCAACGGCTTGGCAATGAATTGTGCTCCCGTGCGCAGACCAAGTGTTGGCGGAGGTCGGTTCGGGTTATAGGCACTGGTATTCTTGTTGATCAGAGGCACCGAGAATGCCTTGCGAAATACTGTTGACTTGTCCTTGGCCTGGAAGACGGGGAATCTGTTTGCATCTCGGTTCGCTAAAGCCAGGCGATCGGCATTTGTGTAGGGCTTATCGGCGTCAGTCTCGCCATCAGCGCCCTTGTAATCGACCCTTCTCTTCTTGCGCGCCGGTCTGTCGGTTGCGACTGTTCTCGTTGCTGATCCGGGGCATTTGAACGGTCTTGACAGCTTGTCAACCGACTGGGGAGTCGGCCATCGCTTAGAAGGCACGTTCTCCTTGTTCGCGATCGGGGTGGCGGTGACGTCGACAGTCCTATGGAGGGGTTAATACAGTGCCGTGTTAGTTGGAGAAGCGTTGACTAGAGTTGCGTACATTGTGAACCGCGATTTGTGGTGTAGCAATGCTGCGGGTGCAGTTTATGCGCAATCCCGGGGGTAAGGCTTCGCAGAGAGCAGCAGAGAAGTGAGGGATGAAGATGGAGGGAAAAGAATAAGAGCAATGTTCCTGGTCGGAGGGCCTGGTGTTGATTTGGGGCAAAGCGCGACTCGACCCGCGTCGCCACTCAAACACGCTTTCACGTGCCCCAGGCACCAGGGCCCATCTATTTAATCTGCTTACCTCACCACTCTTGCTTACCTAAAGCTTTCTTCTGTGGGTTCATCCACTAAGGTTCTAGATTGTCTGTGCCCACTTACACCCAGCTTCCTCCTCCTCCACCCCCAACATGTCGATGTTGAAGGGTATAACTTCACGGGACACTCAGCCACAACTTGGCGCGTCAATCTTCTTCCCGGAATCGATCCTTCGTCAGAATTATAATGTCAAGTGGCATCTTTCGCTACCAAAATGTCCCCAATGATTGACCAATCGTACGGCGCGGTGAAGCCGTGCGTGAGAACCAAAGTTGGCGTCGTTTTAGTCTTGGTCCTAATGATGCAGCTGACGATTCTACCATGATCATACGTGGCTAACTGAGCTATGTTGCTTGTGTTCCGATAATAATAGCGGCTACAAAATCTCTCGAGTTCCCATATGAATGTCTCTATCTGGCGAAGATGGTCAGAAAGCAGACACTGGTAGGATGTTCTCTCGGCAGCTATGTCATCCGAAATAGCAAAGTTCGAATACAGCCACCGTATCGGCGAGGAAACCATTCGTCTAGTACGCATTCTAGGTTGCGGAACAACTGATAATGGACCGTTGCAACTTTCACTCGAAGAACACGCCGTTGCTGACCTGCCAGCTTACCGTGGCCTCTCTTACACATGGGGACCGCCTCTCGCAGAAAAGGGGCCCATTCGGCAGATCGCGCAGCAGCCTGCAACAATCTCAGTGATGCTCGACGGCCAAATCTTTGACATATTCCCGAACCTACACGATGCACTGTGCTGGATCAGAGCGCGTAACTCCTGTGACCTGTACTGGATCGACGCCATCAGCATCAATCAGGCCGACGATACTGAGAGGAGCATGCAAGTCGGCATCATGGACCGCATCTACAAAAAGGCTACCCGCGTCGACATATGGCTAGGCTTCGTCACTGATGAGCATCACCCAGCCGAAGTATCTCATTTGGTTCGCACAATGGCTGAAAACACCCTGCGGAACTTCAGCTTTGACCAGGAGAATTCTCTTTTCGACGACGATGCGCTGAGCAGATATGGCTTGCTACATGTACCCGATGACGTATGGTACGCATTCGTTGCCTTTTTCGAACGCAAGTGGTTCAATCGTGTCTGGGTAGTCCAGGAGGTCGCCTTGTCAAGAGACGCATGTATTCTCTGGGGCAACGATGTTATTCCGTGGGAGACGGTGGCGTATTGCTCAGACTTTCTGTACGAAAGTCGTCTGTACGAGCAATTGTCAGAGGTCTTGTACGATAACAACCCTACGATCAAGGACGTCAAGATTGGCAGCAACTCGTCGGGCATCGTCGCAATCCAGAGGTGTAGACACGACATCCTCGATGTGTGGGACAGCACCACGCTGGACCACATAGTCGGTCCGCTCGCCTGCACAGGCGGAAGCAGCAGAACCAAGACAGCCGGTGCGCTGTTGTTTTTGATGCTACGCCTGACGGTCGGAGTGGAAGCCACCGACCCAAGAGACCAAGTCTTTGGTCTACTGGGCATCCTCAATCTCCTTTTGGATCTCAGTGGCCGCAGAAGGACGGAGTTGGAGGCCAACTACCGCAAACATTGCACGCCCGTCAGCATCTACACCGACACGGCGGTCTTCATCATGGAAGAATGCAAGAATCTGGCTCTGCTCACGGCGGTTCCCGACGACTCGGTCAAGAACATTGAGGGCCTGCCGTCCTGGGTGCCCGATTTCTCTGCAAACGGGCCCTCTGCCTTTCTGGCGATGAGGTGGCCCGCCGAGATCCCTTACTTTGATGCCTGTCGTTCCATGCCAACTAACTATCGCGTCGTCGATGACAGGCTCCTCCACGTCAAGGCTTTGTGCATCGGCACAGTATCGTTGGTAGGCGAGGTATACTCGGAACTAGCCACGAACGGAAGCTTCACGCAATGGGCCGACTTCCTCTTGCAATGCGATCCGGTGTACGAGCCGACAGGGCAGTGCCGCGTAGAGGCGTTCTGGAGGACGTTAATCGGTGACCGAGATGCGTTCACACACCCCGCACCCGGCAGCCTCCAAAAGGCGTTCCATTCGTGGATCGCGGACCACGTTGTGTGGGAGGTGTACTGCGCCATGAAAAAAGGCGTCGATATTGATGAACGCATCAGCCGTCTGGACAGCATCAAGAGAATCGCCGCGTCGGATGTCAGCAAGACGGTGCCCTCGTGCGATGTGATTATGGGGTATCTGAAGCAACTCAAGGAATGCGAGAAGCAGGAGCAGGTTGAGGGATTATTTGACCGCTTCAAACACACTTGTCAGGTGTATGTGAATCTTGCGTTCGAGACACTCTGGGAGAGGCGGCCGTTCCTGACGGATAGTGGCCATATGGGACTTGGAGGCCAATCCGTGCAAGAGGGGGATGGGATTTGGGTGGTGGCTGGCTGTCCATCACCGCTTGTACTTCGAGAGCTGCCGGTTCCTTCTATACCTGAGTCTTTTAGCTATCGGTTGATTGGGGAAGCTTATGTGCACGGCATCATGCACGGGGAGGCTGTTGGTGAGGATGTGTTGTGGGAGGATGTCTGCATCCAGTGACAGCATCTTTGCTGGGTACTATCTACGGGATTTATCATTTATTACTTACAACACATCTTTTCTATTCAATGTGTGCGAACAAAGAGAACAGCCACTGTTCAACGAATCAAGAACTACGTATTGTTGAATCCATGGGTGCTTCGGTGAGTGTCACACCGAGACTTGCCGAAGTACCACCGTGTCGGTGAGTTATGAGGTGACCCCCACAATGGGGGTGTTCTAGGGTACCTGCTGACAGCCAAAATCAGGTGAGACACTGCGGCCCCCAACTCGAAATCTTCAACGCGACACAACCAGCGCAAGCCGCACATTCCAACGTTTCCTTGCGCCGGACGGCCACTTTCTTGTCTCAAGGTATGCTGACTGTTTGCAACTTCAATTGGCTTGTTACCAACCTCAATTGACTTCACAGCTGCATATCGAGTCATCAACAGTCATTCCCCCACGCCTGACAACAGCTCCATCTTCACATGCTCCGCATCAAACACCACCACCACGGCCACACCCATTCGTCTGTTCGTACGGAGACGCTCGCCCGCAAGGTCTCTAGTCTGGGTGGATCCCAAGACCCCCGGTCCCCCGGCACCTCTCCGCTTTCTCTCACCAAGCTTCCCTCGGTCCCCCGTCCCAAAACGAAACAAAGCACGGCTCTCCCTCACTCTCGCTCTATCTCTCTATTATCTTAGTACTCCATAATGGCCGACCCCTCCCACCCCTCCTCGTTATCCTCCTCCCCCGGGACCCCGCTCCGTCCACCTTCTGCCCGCATCTTCTGGATCGTCGACAACTGGCCCTCCATCCTCGGCGGCACCGTCCTCACCCACTACGCACACTACCAGTACCTCTCCCGCGTCCGCAGTCCGAACCCGAACCCCGTCAAGAATGCCCGCTTCTGGGCTCTAGCCTCTGGCGGATGGATGCTCACCTACCTCGGCATATGCACCGGAATCGCCGTCGCCCAAGCCAAAGTCAATCACTACCTCGACCCTGATAACCGCCTTCAGTACCGCGATTCCTAAACTACTCGACCACCTCCTACTAGCCACAATCACTACCTCACTACCGCCTCGCAACAGAACGATCCTATCCCAGCCAGCCGCCCACCATGTCGGCAGACTTCTGGGCTGGCTACATAAGCGGCGCCGTAGGCATCATCATCGGCAACCCCCTTGACCTCCTCAAAGTCCGCCTCCAAGCTCGCCCGGCTTCCGCCCCCTCGACGCCCCTTCCCTCCTCCTCCCCGCTCCCGCTCCCGAGCCCCACCGCAGCCGCAGCGGCATCCTACCTCCGCCACTTCGAATCCCCCGCCTCCCTCGTCACCGGCTCCGCCGCCCCGATCCTAGGCTACGGCGCCCTCAATGCCCTCCTCTTCGTCTCCTACAACCGCACAGAGGCCGCCCTCAACCGCGCCCTAGACGTCCAGTCCAGCCTCTGGACAACCTGGCTCGCCGGCGCCGTCGGCGGCCTCGCCACCTGGGTCGTGAGCACCCCGACAGAGCTGATCAAGTGCCGCGCCCAGCTCTCCTCCCCGCCCGCCTCGAGCTGGGCCATCACCAAGGACGTCTGGCGCGCCGAGGGGATCAGGGGTCTCTACTTTGGCGGCGTGGTGACTGCGCTGCGGGATAGCGTCGGGTACGGGTTTTACTTTTGGTCGTATGAAATCACCACGCGGTGGATGGGCGTCGGGGGCGACGGCGTGAAGGAGACGAATCTGAAAGAGGAGGCCGCCAAGGTGTTGCTGTGTGGTGGTCTCGCGGGTATCGTGACGTGGGTGAGCATCTTCCCGCTCGACGTCATCAAGACCCGCGTCCAGACGCAGGCGTTTCAGGCACAGGCACAGGCACAGTCACCCGAGAGGTCACCTTTGCTCGCGGCACAAGGGCTGGCGCAGCAGCAGCAGCAGCAACAGCAGCCGGCGAAGCGTGCAGGCGCAATGCAGGTCGCGAGAGAAGCCTACCGCGAGGGCGGGATGCGAGTCTTCTTCCGTGGGCTCACGGTGTGCAGCGTGCGCGCTTTCGTCGTCAACGCGGTTCAGTGGGCTGTGTACGAGTGGGCCATGTATGAGATGGGCGAGGGCCGGAGACGGCCTGCTGCTGCCATTGAGCCTGTGGGACAAGTCATGTGAGGAATCACGACTTTGGTATGGTTTTGGTGATACAAGGCGGGACGAGAAAAATGCCGTTTCCACAGTTTTGTGGGAAACGTCTCGCGGTGGTCAGCTTGGTGGCTTCTAGATGTCACCGCGATGTTGCCGCTTATGCGTGCACCTTGATGGAAAAAGTTGCCGAATACTCTCCGGCATCACAGACAACCACACAACCACACAACGCAACCACAGGATAACGAACTGAACGAGCTGAAAACGGTGTCGATTATATAAAGACGCCTTAGGTCGCTGAAGCGACTATCATAGATCTCTCATGTATCAAAAATAGATGAAATACAAAGCCAACAAATATCTACATTTGTAATCATGACCACGACCGAGTCCAAGACAGCTTCTCTAGCCGAACTCAACCGCATCTTCTGGGAGTCTGTCACCCCCGATTTCCTTCAAACTTGACCCCCTTCTCTCAAATTATGAAGCTAACATTGATATAACTCTCAGTGCAAACGCGGACACCTTCATGGAACAAGACTGGATCAAGGTCTTTTCAGAGCAACTCACCCGCTTCCTCCGCGCCCAGGCACCGAACCTAGGTCTCCGGCCCCGCGATACCGACCCGTCTTCGAACCCCGTCCGGCTTTTAGACTACGCTTGCGCCTCTGGCGGTGCTTCATGGGTGAGTATCCTGTACTCCTGCGTCCTACATATCCCTCCCCCAGCTACGATACCCTCTGACAAGACAATGCATAACCACAGGCACTCAGCCCCTTCGTCGACTCGATCCTCGGCATCGACATCGCACCGGCCATCGTACAGCGCTACAACGACTGCGCGGCGCGGCTGGGGTATTCTCCCGAGCAAGTCCACGCCATCGCGGGCGATTTGGCTACAAATGGAGAGCTGGCTGCTGAAGGGGGGTTTGATGTGGTTATTATATCCATGGCGCTTCATCACCTTGATGATCCGCGGGGGATGTTGGAGCTGCTTGCGAAGAGGGTGAGGCCTGGCGGGGTGGTGATTGCTGTTGAGGGGGTTGATCATAAAGCTACGGGGTCGGAGAGTGAGGTGCTCGAGAAGGGAGATGAGAAGGGAGGTAGAGCTCATGAGCATGAGGTCCACCAGCACGATGTTCTCAAGACTACGAATCGGCATCTGGTCTTCAGCGAGGAGCTTTTCAGGGGTTGGTTCCGAGATGCTGGGTGTGATGAAGGCAAGTTTGTGTACGTTGAGAATGAAGAGGTCAGTCATATTCCGGAGGAGGCTTCTGGGAAGGCTGGGGGATTGGATAGAAAGATGGTTATCGCTTCCTCGGTGAGGAAAGAGTAAGAATGGACATGTGATGATTTGCTAGGAATGGACCATGTTCGTCAGCAATTGATATGTCAAGCGAAGCAAGATCGAGCCCCCCTTTCTCCTGATCAAGTTCCCGGTCACATTGAAACCCATTGACAGCCCGGGAGAAATCAACGAGCACCCACAAAACGAATCCTCACTACTCTCTGGAGCAAATTTCATTTCCCTTCATACCGAAACTCATGCCGCCGCGACGCCATCTCGACCAAAAACCAAGCCACCCCCCAACTCTATCTTCCCGAACAGCCTCACTTTCACACATCAACTCCCTCAACCCATCAAGGTCGCAACCATCCGTCAAACGAGAGCCAGCCTTTATTTCCAACCTACGCTCTCCCTTCCAACAAGCAAACGGGGGTTCAACTCCCCTGGGCGCTGTGGCCCAGCGGTGGAACACTCAGCTGGGGACGAGGGATTTCCACATATCTCTTAGGAGATGGACCTCGACCCCTTGAGTTCGACTCCCCGCTCTGGCCACTCTCTTTTGCACCTTTTGCACTTTTTGCACTTTTTGTACTTTTGTCTTAGTTGAAGAGTTGCTCTTTCATACGTTTGTGATATAAGCTGTGTTCTTCTTTCGTTTCTGCTGTTATGGATTTGATGTTGTGTTCTTCTCAAACTATACAAAGCAGCTTGTAAAATTCACTATCGAGTTGATGATAAAACCCCGTACTCTCCTGTCTACATTTTTGCTTTCTCACATTAATTTCGCACGTAAGAGCTCGATGTATATCTATCTTCGTTTCGAAGGGAGGTGATCATAAGAGCGGTGCTTACGAGATATGCTACGGGACCGGACCTCTTTCCGTTTCTCACTGCCTGCTTGAACAATCGCGTACATTTCAAGTCATGGATCTTACTCCGTACTAATCGCGACAATCAGAATATAAGCGAAAATACTAAGTGGAGTGGACTGTTTGCTGTCTCTCCTCCACGGCGCTAGTTCTACCACCAGCGGCCGGCGATACGACGACAGACACGTCATGGGACCCCTTCTTTTGGCGACTAATCTCAGTAACGGCAAGAATTCATGTACCACATGCAATTATTGTCCTCTAGAATGAGTCACGCCAAGCTCCTGGCTCTGAAACTTGCTCGCTCGTCACTCGGCGCCTTTTCTCGGAGACATTTCTCTTGCCCGGCCAGGCCGCCCCACTTCGGATCCGATCTTCTCGGCAACATTTCACGGCGTCGGAGACATCCCGCGAGGCCGCGCCTCACGCCGGCACGCCCGTTCTTCACTTGGAAGAGCATATAAGACGACAAAAGAGCCTCATTTATAGCAGGAAATATCACAACCGCATCAAACCCACGCAACCCAACTTTCCAAGCTTACACCACATCACAACTACAATACAACTTACATGAATACCCTCAACAAAAACCTCATCAAAGCACTCCCGCTAACACCAAACATCATCACATCCAACATGTCCACCCCAGCCCTCCACGACGTTCTCATCATAGGCGCAGGCCCAGCAGGCCTCGCCACAGCAACGGCCCTCTCCCGCCAGCTCTACACCACAGTCCTCTTCGACTCAAACCTCTACCGCAACGCCCGCGCGAGCAACATGCACAACGTCCTCGGCTTCGACCACGTCCCGCCCCCAACCTTCCGCGCCAAGGCGCGAGAGGACCTCAAAGCCCGCTACGCCGACACCGTGACGTTCGCCGACGGCGTCGAGGTCGTCAAGACGACAAAAGTCAAGGACGGACTGTTCAGGGCCGAGGATAAGCATGGCATGGCGTGGTTTGGACGGCGCTTGGTTCTCGCTACCGGCGTCACGGATATTTCTCCAGACATCACGGGCTACGCGGACTGTTGGGGCTACGGCATCTTCCACTGCCTCTTTTGCCACGGCTTCGAGGAGCGCGGGGCGGAGAGGGTGGGCGTGCTCGCGTTCGGGTTGACGGGGAGCGTCAAGATGGCGACGCATATCGCGTACATGGCGCGGCCCCTGGGCAAAAAGGTGACGATTTACACGCACGGCAACGAGGCTCTCGCTTCAGAGATTAGTGCCATGGCGAATAACCCCTTTACCATTGACACACGGAAAATCACATCGATGCGCATGACTGGCGGCGGCGGGGAGCACAGCACCAGTGTGACGCTCACACTCGGCGGAAAGGATGGGGAAGAAGGAAAAGAAGTCACGGAGGGCTTCCTCGCCCACGCGCCGTTTACAAGGCCCAATGGCCCCTTTGTGGAGCAGCTTGGGTTGGAGACGGCGGAGAACGGGGATATCAAGACGGCTGCCCCTTTTGGGGAGACGAGCGTTTCCGGGGTCTACGCCGTGGGAGACTGCGGTAATATGGTCAAGGCCGTTGCGACGGCGGCGGCGAGCGGTGCGCTGGCTGCGGGCGGCATGGTCGTGCCGATGCAGATGGAGCCGAGGGTTGAGATGGATGTTGAGGCTATGAAGAAGGTTATTGGATAAAGGGGGTGTAGACGATAGAGGTTGCAACAGAAGATGTCTCTTTTTGGGTTAAGAATAGATAGTTTTGACTCCGGGAATCCATAAAGCCGGCGTAGCGAGGTTATAATGAATAGAAGAAATGTTCTAGACGAGAAATGCCGTCCCCCAAGCCCCCTTCGGAGGTGAAGTCCGTCGTGGACCAGTCAACTAATTCCAGAGCAACATATGGAGCCTGGCACTGAGCCAAGTCATTGTAAAATATCAAGAGTGTTTTCAGTAGCCCAAATGAGACCCATCGCCGCTTCCTTCCCGCATCTTCGCAGGATCATCAACCTTGCCCAAGCACATGTCCGAACCATCGTCGGCACCAAGAACCAACCACACAGGCAAAACCCTTTCCCTCAAAGCCACGAAACCGAATTACTTTTACCGTAGGGTTCAGTAACCCGTCTTGAGTGCAGCAGATCTCAAAAAGAAGGACCGACTATCGTTCGACATGCACTAGCGTCCACCACGTCGTCCCCAATCCCCGGCGCGGCATATCCGTCCGTCCTCCAGGCAGCAGAATTAATTCTCCTGCAGCTTTCCCCCTCCATCCTCCACTCCCTGACCTGCGACCACCAAAACCACCCACCCCCTTTTATTGCCGAGACGCTTTGCATCGTCAAATCATTACTTGTCGGGATATCAGCTAACGCCACATGTAAGAGGCGGTGTGGGGGGATAGGGTTCTCTATATCGAAGCCTGATCCGGCCGGCAATCCGGACTGAGAGTCTATGGGGATGAAACCGGACTGGTCATTCTCTCCGTGAAGGCTTAACTCGGCAATCAAGGGCAGGGGTTAAAACCATGATTCCGTGGTGACATGCCGCCGACATTGTCGGAAAGAGGTTGCACCGGCCGGCGTCTGTAGAAACATGACTTGCATGAGGGATGCAAGTCGGGCAAAGACTGACTGAGTGGCCATAACGGCTTCCACTCAAATACTGTTTCTTAGCATTTGCGCTGAAACTGCTGTATACAGAAAGTATGGTTCTGGTTCTCAAGGGAAGACGTATGCTCAATGATTGAAGTTATTCAGTGGCTTCGTCGCTGAGTAATATCCACTTCTTTCATTGGGGCGTATGACGCGTCAAGTTGACTTACTTCCCTCACTCCAATGTTCCTGCTTTAAGTGTCATATGGTTTGGACTTCCCGATACTGACGAGGGCATCATCTCGTCGCGGCCTCTGGTAATCAACTCATTGAAGCTGCCTGGTTTTACTGGAGCTACCCGGCCGTGTTGATCTGCCCATTCTCTGCAACTTGGCACAAAGTCCGCCCCCGAAAGCTTGAGTCCTAGACCGGGTCTTCAAGCCTCAGAAAGGCATGTAGTACAGGCCCAACACAGGTACTATAACCCCGCCCCATAATCGTTAGATTCATGTGCCTCTAGGAAAACTAGGCTGCCGTCGAAAGCTTTGAGATGTAGATGCGGGTTTCCAGGGGGCCATCAGGCCTTTACCCGATGTTCAGGACATACGCAGGTTGGAAAGGGGGTTGATATTCCAAGAATAACTCAACGATTCTCAAATCACATACAGGATACAGAAGTTGACGTGACATCCTTGAGCTTGATTCATCTTCTTTGGCCGCTTGACGTTGTACTGCCTGATCCCGTAGGTCGCTTGTCACCATCCGTTTCCGACGTCCTTCAATGCTGTAGCCTGATTGAAAGCCCCTCGCTTGGTATGGCTAGCCTGTCAACGGTGGATATGATCAATATTGAAGGGTAAGGCAGGAGATTCAAGCTTCCTTCCACGCATGTTTCCCTCCTTCTTCAAGCACAACTGTCGGGTAGGTGACCTGGCAATCAAAGTCAAGAGGTGTAAATGAACCCCTCTGAGAAATCTCAAAGGCATTTGGAAGAGCATTGCCCAGTGCGGCATTGTACGCTTGTAGTCAACTCCAGCGGAGGTGTATTCTCTCATCGACCCCGGCAAAGGCGCTCTGTCGCTGATTTAACGGGTCTGGTTCTCTTCTGAGTGAACCCTTCACAGCACTACTCCTCGACCCAGCTCAGCAGCGTAATTTGAGTCTTCTAGAATACACGACTCTGAAGTAGCATAAAGGGATCAGAATACAATTGTTGGCCTAGATCATCAGTGACTTGAGAGGCTCCAATGCTCGCCCACCCCATCACGGCAGAGACCGACCGGACAGACAAGCACATCGTCATGAAGGGACACGGTGTTTTACGTAGCCCTTTTTCTCTGTCTATCCGAGTACCTGAATCTCCCTCTCTGGACTTTTGAACAGCTCAACCCTGTGCCATTCATCATCCCACCTACCCCTAGCATTGCAGCCTTCCGTGGAAAGTATTGTCATGTTCAGTCATGATCCACACCGTTCCTATGTGGATAATCCACGAAAGGATTGGTATTGCCGCCGGGACGGTGATGAAACGGAACTCCTCCCCACTAAGATGAAAGTAGAATGACACGACTTTTCCCAGCACAAACCGCGGATGCCGACAGAGGCTATCCGCGGGTACTTCACGCCATCCACAAAATGCAAAGCAGGCCAGTTCAGATGAGGGCACTTGTATGTAAAGAGAAACACATGTTGTATGTTCAAATCTTTCCATAGAATGAGTCTTATGAGGCGCTATACCGTCGTGACGTGCTTCTCGAGTGACTCTGTCAAGATCGTGCCTAGGCGAGGTACTCGTAGGGGGATGGGGGTTATGGTCCAAGTCCCATAGCCAACCATACTTCCATCATGAAGGTCCCTTCGAAGCGCGCCAAGAGAAATTGAGATATTTCTAAAGCCAAGTCAGGTGTCAACAGCCACCAACCAGACTTACTCATCCCCGCAATAAACATCGCAGATGGTCCATATCATGCTGCAATCCGAGTGAAACGTTACATACCAAGAATCGTGGCTCTCAAGGGCCTGGAATAGTCGTCTCTTCCCCCGAAAAGACATCTTTGACCCAAAGAGAATCTAGCCGTTAGTCTCCAGTACATTGCCAACAATGCCGCGGGGTTCATAGTACGGAGCCCATCTATATCGACCATTTCCTTCTTCAACGAACCACGCTCTAGAAGACTGATTCAACGTGGAAGGTTGCCCTAAGAATAGAACAACCCAAGAGGTATCTCAGGCAGCATTGCAGGTTAGGAAATCTTGCCGTCCGTCCAGGGTGACAGAAAGACATGGATCACTGAGGCATCAGGAGGAAATATTTCACGGCTTGTACCTATCGCAACACACTCAGGACAGACATTAACCCTCCGTCATCGCCAACCATCTCCTATCAGATGTAGTTAAGCATCAACCCCGTGCCGTCCCCCTCCCCCCCTGAGGACCAGGATCTCCCAATGCAACTCCCCGTCGGACACTTACCAAACAGTCCATGAGGTAACTAGCAAATCACAAGAATAGAAACCATGAAAATGGAAAGGAACAATAGGTTACTTACCCGCAGATTGATACCCTCTAAAATGTGTCATCCCATCACCTACCACCATCTCTCCCCACTCAACCGCGCGCGCATAAACGGGATGAAACCTCGACGTCCCTCCCGTGTGCCGTTTCCCGCTTCTGAATTGGATCTCCCCCGCTCAAGAAAACCCAATCTTGTTCATATTCAAACGTTTGAATCGGTAATACCAATTGAAACCCTGCCTCTTGCGTCTCTGTTCAATTTGGAAGGAATGTTTCCGGAAAAAAAATAACGTGTCTAAAATACTTGACACAACCGACGGGCTGGAGATCATGCGGCGCCCACCGCGGAACCCCGCCGTCAAAGGCGTTGATATGTGTCTCGCCCTGAACATGATTGCGTAAAACACCTCAAAAGGTAACAGAGACCATGTTCCTGTTTTCCAATAAGCTCATATAGGAGGGATCCGGGGCGGAAATCCGCAAACTGGAATATTGAAAACCATGCTGATGGATGGAAAGGGACTGCTGTTTCTTCTTGGTGTGACGTGAACACACCAACCCACCCACCCATGCGTTGTCGAGCCTAGACTACAAAGCCCAACTACCCCGGCATGCTGTATATTCAATTGGCCAAGGCACAAATTTCGTTTTGCTGTTTTCTTGTTTTCTCATCGGGGGCCATCATGCCTAAAAATAAGTCCCGCTTTGTGTGTTGAATCGCCTTTGACGTGTCTTGGCAGTTTGTGACCCCCGTGTTCAAGTTTGTGACAGAGAGTCTCAGGATGGGGGTTTTTCCGGTTACTCATGGTTGGGAAAACATGTTCACAGGGGGCAAGACAAAAGTAAACTGTGCCCGCGGAACCGCGAATTGGGGTTAAAAATATTATTTTTTTCGGTCTAGGGAGAAAGAAAGCCCAGACTTCTTCTCTCCTTCAGATCAAGGGCCCTTTCTTGTCCAAGAAATCGGGCACATATTGGATATATCCTCCATAAGAAAGCTCCAACTAAAAAAGAGAACTCCATATTCAACCAGGATAATCTAGTCTCTCCAGACTAAACCACGGTGAATCCCAATTGTACCCCTAGATCTCCGGCGATCCCAAAAAACACCACCATTAATATGATAAAACCTGTACGCCATGCTTTGAAACATTTCATGCTCGAATGAATCATCCTTTTTAGCTGTAAAAGAAGAGCTCCTCAGACCTCGTAGTCATCGACCGGTGAAGGCGGGGGCTCGCGTACTCCGACATGGGTGATACCAAGACACTCGGGTTGTAAATTGTAGCACTCATCATGCTCGCGTGGGAATCCCCGCCCTGGGCAGTTACCCACCCCATCGACTCCCTCGTGTCATAGCTCCCGAGCTGCTGCTGGTGGTACACAGGGGTCTGAGGAAGAGGCACCACCGCCTCGGCAGTCGTCGTCGTGCTCGCCAGCGCCGCCGCGTTTGTCGTCGTCGTGGTGTGCAAGTCGCCAGCCACCACCCCCGGTGCGTTGATCTGCTGTCGCTCGCCCTGGTACCACCACTGGTTCTCGAAGCCGTTGTCGACGGTGACCATTGCCGCAGAGAGCGCCTCCAGGTCATGTCTCCGCCCATCGTCCCCTCTCTCGTGAGCCACCGGGGTGGCGTTGGTGAGGGAGACGTCGCGGAACTTCATGGACAACTCGGAAGAGTAGTCGTTGACCTCGGACTCGTCGGGCATGCCGAACTCGCCTGGCCACGATGAGGTTGACCACGGCATCTCGTCCTCGCCCAGTCGGAAACGTGACGGGACTTCGGGCAACGCTTTCCAGTAGTCGGGGGCGTTCTGGGGCCGTGGTCGTTGGCGTGGGAGCGCTGAGCTTCCTAGAGCATCTGGTTCGGCATCCCAGGGGCTGTCGTTCCATGGCGGCGGGGCCGAGCTACCTCGTTCGTGTGAGGAGCTCGATCGACTCTCTTGTCGAGATTGTCTGCTAACTTCGTAGTGTGGCGGCATTGGTGGTTGCGCTTGGGGTGCGTAGTATTCTTGGATGGGTGGTGAAGATCGTGTGGGTTGAAGTTGTTGTTGTTGATGGGCTGAGTGTGAGGGCTCTGCTAGATAATTTGTATTTGTTGGTGGAACTTGTCTGGGAAACTGAGCGCGATCACGGAAACCACGAGTGGCGTATGTGACGGAGTGTTGGTTGGGTGCATGTCTCGGTGAGAATGAGACCCCAAATTCGAAGTGGACAAAGATCTGGGGCTTCCGGCTTGAACTCGACGCCATATCGTCAAACAGGTGAGGTGGTAAAGGCTCTGTTCTCCAAATGGTGCCCATGATGAAAGGAGGGGACGTCCGTGGTTGATATGAGGGACGGGAGGCGGACTGGAGAGTGGATGCCCTAGACTCGACGGCGGTCTGGGCTAGGGTGAAAGTAGGACAAAGCGGAGATAGAGTCGGATGAATGCTGAGGTATGGCAGTATGATGCGGTGCCAGTATTCGTATGTACGGGGCCGAGCTTGGGCTCGGACGCTAGTGTCAAAGGGATGTGTGTGGATGTATGCGTGTGTGAGTGTGTGTGTGTGATGTTCTGCAATAACGGGCAAAGAATGAGGTGGTGTGGATTTGGATGAGACCAGCAGATTCTGTGTTGGTGTGAGATGGATGGATGGATGGACGGATGGACGGACAATGAGAGATGTATGTAGTCAGATCAGATGCTGCGGTTCATCCCTCCGATGTAAGCGGATGTTTACTTTAGTTTTGTTCTAAGCGAATAGCGTATAGAAAGCGAGGTAAGATACAGGAACAGGGCCGCTTAGAATGGAAGTCTGTGTGTGATGTTAAGGCGAGGCGTCTGAAAGGCGAACGCGGGCGAGAAGTGGCTCCCCAAGGGATTGGAAGGAGGAGGGGAGGTTTGTGGCGGAACACAAGCAAGACACCGCCCGGTACAGGCCCGCCGTGGAGGAAGAACCTAGGACCTAAGCTGCTAAGCACCTAAGCAAGCAGCAGAGCCAGCCAGCGCAGGGTGTCCGAGGGTATGGGGCAAGGAGGCTAAGGTAGAGGGACCCCGGGGGGACGAGGGTTGGCTGCCACCTGCATCGGGTTTTGGTCTTGGTGTAAGGTGATGTGAACAGTGAGTGATGGGCAAAGGGGCTGCGTGAGTGTGAGTGTGAGTGTGAGACTTGAGAGCGCGGGATGGGGAGAGGCGTGCAGCGTGAGGCGTGAGGCGCGAGGTGTGAGGCGAGGCCGAGACTGTGGAGGGCGGCTGAGGCAGCAGAATTAAACCCAGTTACGCCAGTGTGAGAGCGACCCGTATCTGTGGGTAAGTATCTTAGACTAGCAGTACGGATAATGGCATTGGCAGGCAGCTCATCGTTCGATGCACAGCACGGCCCCGAATGCCGGGGACCTTGCCGTATGGATGTAGGTACGGAGGAGTACTCTTCTTTGAGTGTGAGGATCACTTGAGGTAAGGTACGGATGGATAGGCTATGTAATATGCATCAGTTCACCGACCGTCTGGGAGCAGAGCAATGAACAGAGCAGTATCTGTGAACAACCAAAAGTGAGAACGGACTGAGAAGCATGGTACAGCCCCTCGGCGCCTCGCTTCCATGTCTGGCAGCAGCAGGTACCCGCTTCGGACGAAATGCCGCGAGCGAAGGAAGCCAATGTAATTTGACGACGCAAGCCAAAGTTCCTCTTTCTCTTGGGAGCCTCGGAGGAGTTGAGAGGAAATGACGATGCTTTCTGGCGCGACGGGAAATTGAAATTTCAAGACGCGGGATGGAGACCCCGATGCGGCCATGGAAGGATGCCAAGAACGAGGGCGAAGGCCAGCCAGCCTGCCAGCTACACCTAGGTAGCAGAACTTCGGCTTCGCGAACAGTGAGATAAAAGAGCGGAAAGCGGACAGCAGTAGCGCAGCAGCTTAGCTGGTTGGGAAGAGAAAGGGCGGAATGGAATGGAATGGGGTGAGGGATGAGGGAGGCTTGGCTCAGCTTGGGATGCTCGAAGGATGAGAAACCCTGACGGGACGACGTCGAGGACGGAGTGACGGAGTCTGTGGACCATGGACCGTGGGCTGTGGTCACTGGTCACTGCCCAGGTGGTGGAAGTCGTGGGGGAGATCAAGGTACAGGGTACAAGATCCGCGTGTACAGGGATGTTCCAAGATACGTACCGACACCGTCTTTCTCGAATCCGAATCTGAGAATTCAAATTTTGAACTTTGGCATCAACAACTTACTTTAGCTGTGTGACTTGTCTGCGTGCCGACTTCCATGTCAGACTTTGGCTCGCCTTTATGGGTAAGGTACCCTAAGGTAACAAAACAGGTTGCCAGATCTCATGAGATGCGTCCACCGTGACCTATAGATGATGGAATTCCCTGATGGACTAGTGGACTTCCATTGCGGCTTTTGCTCACGCTGACTGAGAGCTGATGTTAGATATCCTACTTATCCAATGCCTAGAGCCCCGTCCTCAAGGGCACCCAAGGCACCGTCGGAAGATTGAGGGCATGCGGGAGAGTCTAGACAGGGTACAGGCCCTCAAAGCACCCTATAAGCTCATGGCAGAGGTACGTACGTACACGTACTTGGGATCCCCAGGCCCACTGCGTTTTGATCATTTCTTCTGCGGCCTTGAGATACATCCAGGTGCGACTCCACGACACTATTCTCCTGGTCTCAATGCTATCAAACATCTCTCTTTGGATAATGCGGGTTTTACAGCTCGCTGCCTGGCCAAGATTGCCGTACATCATGCACAGCAAGTCGCCTCTTTCATTTGGTGTTCGTGTTCACCCTCGTTGCCACCACTGGACCGCCTCAAACCAACGTAACATAAGACCAAGAGACCCCTTTTTACAAAATCTCCAAAGTTCAGCTCAGCTAAAAGTTGCCGGCTGAGATGATGTACGGTCGATCTTCGCCCCATCCCCATGCGTGCCCTCACGGCCTCCCTCCGTGTCACATCAGATCTGTGATCCGCGGCTTTGACAAGCACGCGCTGTGTCTAAACAACACCCACTGTCCACCAAAAAGCGCAAGACAACGAAGCGAGCCAGTCACAAATGGCAAACCACTGATAAGTTACACCAAGTGAGAGCACTTGAATCAGAAGGGTTGTGTCCGGCCGTGTGGCCCGACTAGTTCGGGCGTCCCGATGGTGACATTCGCCCCCCGTCCCGTCTCCATACTGCCGCCCATGCTTCCATTGCCAAGGGTCTCCATTTTGAGTCCGCCGATCAGCCCCCTCCACCGACAGCTGCCAATCATCGCTTTTGCATCTTGGGTACTCAACCCCCCGCCGTGACCTTGTCGACGGATATGATTGGGCCTGGGAGGGAATTGACTCTTTGTGGTCCAAGGTACCTAAGCCAGACTCCCCATCTGTTCCACTGCTCGCGTGGAACCGCATCTCGTTCATCAATCAGGCAGCCATATAAAAATTTCCCGGTACCGCTCAACCGCCATCAAGAAAACAGTGTTTCGACTGAACCTTTTTTTGAAGATGAAGGGGACACGGGGAGATGAAGATCCCTTGCCTTTCGTGGTGTGAAATTGCCTCAACAGCTGCAGCCAATGTGTTTTGCAATGTGCCGAATCACCGAACGTCCCTTGATCAGCGTCTTTATGCCCATCCCCTTCGTGATGGGAAAAAGGCAATTGCCAGGTCGTACGGAAGCGATCAGTCAAAGTCTAAAGAGGCTTGGAAGGCAGGCGTGGCAGTCAAGGCAAGCATTGAGGTGACACATGATGGAATCTTCGAATCTGACTTCCATGAGTGGAACCCGGTCAGCACCCAAAAGATCCAATGTACATAGTCATCAATCTACGGATACGCATGACCGGAAATATCGCACAGCATTCGTAGCTTATCCTAGCACTGCCTGGAAGCTTTAATCCAAAGTTCAAACAAGTAGGAACGAGCTCGGAGAAAACGAGTACGAACAAGCCAATTGGAAAGCTGGTGACCATACGGAGCAGCTAGAGGAACTGCGGGCCCGGGAATACGGAGTAATCATATTGACGGCATGCCTGATTCCAACTCGGGGAATTATCACTTGTTTCCCGGGCAGTTGCCCTGGTCTGCCGAAATTTCCGAGTGGTTCGTCAGTCATCACCGAGGTACGAGTATCCATGATCCATCTGCCGTTCATTCGTTCCAATGCTGATGCGTTCGTAACTTCGTATGCCCCGAATGCTCGCTTTGTATTGCTAAAGGTAGTGTTATGTAAGCCGTGCATGAGCCACACCTCTATTTCGAAGCCACGTGCCATCTTTCGCCACGTCCCATTCGGGAAGCGCCGCAAGGTGTGGCTTGGACTGCTATTTTTATTCTCCCATCCCAGAATCCCAATTTGATGGCAATGTTATGTAAGCGCGTTCTCCACCAATAACGCTCCCCCCTCCGTCTCTGCCCCGACCCTCAACCGTAACCCCCGAGTCCGACCCCGACATCAAGCGGCCTTCTGCCTTCGGGGCTTGACTTTGTCGGCAGCCTGAACAGGATCACTTCGAACCAGGCACAGTCCCTTCGACACGGTCGTCGGTCTATCTTCAGGCAAGGCGAAGCGCGATGAAAGCGCGCACCGGCGAAGAAATAGACGCCGCAAGCGCGATCCTCCATCCAAACTGGCAGGGCCCCCTTCATCCATGCACGAAGGAAGCACTGCTTCCTGAGCTCCGCCTCTCCGTCCATCTATTTCAAGGCGTCACCACGACTCAAGTCTTCTGATATAACTTTGCTAGGAAGAACCATCTGTTTACGATGCCCTGAGTGTGGCGTGCTGTACTTAATGTCCAGGAGCCGTGTTTCGTTGTTATCGTTCGCTCCGAGGACCGTGGGCAATGACCTACCTTCGTTTTCAACATGGTGCGGATGCTAGAAATGTATCAAATAGCGTGAGTATCTCGTAACTGTATTCCTAGATTTGAACCCCCATAAGCAATTATATCAGTTATACGAGATGTGTGCGGCACAGCAGATTCGAACAATTCCTCAAATTTGCCTTGGACTTATTCTCATATCATCAGACACTGTCATGTTAGGCCCATTTCCGAGCTCCGACGCACTGAGATTCCTATGAAGGCTCCAATGCCCGATGGCGGAGAGCATATCCGTCGTGCGGAGCTTGAATACCCAGGACCCGCCACGCGAACCCTTGGCCGAACGGGAGGCAACATTGCATGGCACGCCATCTCACAGCAGCCACTCGCCGAACCCAAAATAAAGTCTACAAGCGTACATGTCGACGTTTTGGAGCGCTGACAGCGCAAATGGATCGAGTGGCATGAGCGGCACGCCAGTCCTGACGATGACGACTGTATCTTCTGAGAGCCGCTGGACGGCCTACTTTACAAGTCAGAGGGCAGCAGCAGCAGCAGCGAAGAAGGATAAGTAGAAGACGACGAGGGAGAGCTTTGACGCTGCTGTGGCAGTGACCGGCCAAAACGAGCGCTGCCTCTCGTGATCGAAGCGTCCAACAAGGAATACATCACGATCCACGACTACGTCTCAACGCTGCGCCCATGGCTGATGGGTTACGGCAGGACATCACACGGGCTGATAACCTGATGGGCGACAGGACATCCGAGGAGTCTGAGAGTCTGGTGGTGGATGTGGTCACCTTGGACTATTTAAGCATCATGGACGAGAAGCGCTTTCTTCGTTCCAGATACACTGGTCCCCAGATTCCGCCTTCGGGCATGAGCCAGGAGTACAATGATTGGCTTCTGAAATATGTGTTGAGGCCTGCCGTTCCTCTTGGGGGTGCAGTTGACAGGCCGCCACCCTCACCATACGCATGAGATACCGCACATACGCTGAAGCTTTGATGGCACTTTTTGGGACAAGACAAAGAAGGAGCAAGTTGCAGGGCCGTGAGGGTCAACTTGAGGCACAGATGGCCAACGGAGCACACATTCAAGCAAAGTTTCAGCAACGGCCAAGCGTAAGTCGACAGTCCGGCCCCACAAGCCATCCGCCCCTGTTCCGATCCTCAACTACAACCCCCGAGTCCGGACCCGATATGTGCGACTTGATGATATCAGGGCTCAAGACTTCGGTCATTCATGATACTTGATTCTATTGCCTCAAGCTAGACACTTTATGTGATACCTTGGATCTGGGCTTCGGCCCCCTTAGCAAGCAAAGGACTATCGAGGCGCGTACGACGCAATTGAGTGATGCCGCAAACGTAGGGATCAAGGACGGAACGGAAGGCCGATGGGTTGAGGTTCTTCAGGAGCACCGCCGCCTCAAGTCATGAAATTCAAGGCGTCCCTTCCTCCGCCACTGTTGTTTCAAATACTAGTCTTTCACGATCTTGCACATTGGGCCTATAGTATGGTTTGAGGAGGAATGTTTAACCGTTGACGCTCGCTCCGCACATAATTGTAAACAATCACATAAAGCATTCAACTTACGAAAAGACGAAAACAAAAAAAAAGAGTTCACCACCGGTGTGGCTACATCTCTTGGTGCACTTTCTGGGAATCGAACTCGAACTCGTAGCCTGTCGTCGAGTAGGCTGTGGGCGTAATTTGATTGTTGACCTTTAACCACTCCACCACCCAGCCAGTTTGACCTGACCCGTCGACCTAGACGGGCGCCTGCTGGCTGGTGACAGGAACGGAGTTGGAGTGATTTATATAGGCATACACTAGGCAGGAACGGAATCTTCTGACATCTGGCTGTGCCTGCCTTCGCTTCCGGCATGAGACGAGCAAGTCCAGCCAATTGGTCTTTTGTCCTTTTCTCATCTGCTGTTATTCATCTCTACCTTAGTCAAGACCCAGCCGCATTCGAATCCTCGTTCTTCGCTGCAGTGTAGGAGTTGCAAACACATATGTCATCACGCTGCTTTCACCCATGCCGAGAAGGCAAGCCCTCATTTCGAATTGATATTGCCATCGATCCGCATCCAAATAGCTGGCTATTCGAACTGCCTGTGCCATACCGAATCACGGTTGACTGAACTGAACTACGACACAGTGCTGTTCTCGTCTTCCCTTTCAAAAGTCAATCTCTGGTTCTGCGCCCCTAGGCAAACAAAAACCACCCATGACTTATAGCGTTAAGCTGAAACACAGACAGCCCGGGCCTCACGATGCCATACTACACAGCCTCGACTTCTAGCCAACCCTCAACCCCCGGCTCGTCTCAATCCCGCGTGAGGAAAAAAAAAAGGTCAAAAGACCTAGGTAGCTGTTCAAGGGCCGGCGCCGTGAGAGGCCATTACAAATGTCGCTCATTAGTTTTTATGAGAAGATTTATTTCCTCTATGCGATCCTTTCTACATCGAAATCATAGTAGTGTCGTGGCCTAAATACCTTCCTAACCACGCAAACTCCATTTACCCGAGAGCAGCCATGACAAGACGATTGCCTCCGTTGGCACTAACAGCAGCCCCGTTGACCCAGCGCCCCTCCTCGCTAGCAAGAAACCCAACAACGTACGCGATATCCTCGGGGACCCCGATCCGGTCCGCCGCCGTCGTGTCTCGGATCTGCCCGTCGAAAAACCCCGCAGGCATCAAATCCTGACTATTCTTGATCGTGTCTGTCGCCGTCAGACCGACAATGACGCTGTTGAACGTCGCCTTGGTGGTCTTGCCAAACGCCTCGGCGAGAGAGCGCGTGTAGCTCTGCAAGGCAGCCTTGCTGGCCCCATACGTCATGCTAGGGTCCGAGTTGGCTTGGTACGCCAGCACGCTCGAGATGGCGATGACGCGTCCGCCGCCCTGGGAGGGCAAGTGAGGTAGGACGGCGGTCGTCAGGGAGATGGGGGCGAACACGTTGGCCTGCATGACTTGAAGGAAGACGGGGAGCGTCGTGTCCTTGATGGGCTCCACCTTGGAGTAGTCGCTCAGGACCGCGTTGTTGACGAGAATGTCGATGGAGGCGGCGGAGAGCTGCTGGAGCGTCTGGGAGACGATTTTGGGACCAAAGGTAGGGTCGAGAGCGTCTGCTTGGATGGCGATGGCGGTTTCTACCCCGAGTTTGCGACACTCGTCTAGAGTCTTTTGCGCCGCGTCAGAGTTGCTGGCGTACGTGATTGCCAGCTTGGAGAGACCTTTGCGGGCTAAGTGGAAGGCAATGGCTTGTCCGATGCCGCGAGACGCTCCGGTGACGATGGCCGTCTTGCCGGCGAGCGACCAAGGCTGTTGCGTAGCGGGAGTTGAAGACATGTTGGGCGTTCTTGGAATCTTTGGTTGATGTAGTCTTGAGAGTTACGAGTATGATAAAATGTTCGAAGTGAATGGTGAAACTTTAGAGAAGAGCCGTGGCATACCGATGACATTTATAAGAATCGTTCTTCTGGGTTCATCTTGAGGGCAGCTCAAAGAGCTCGCCATCCTGTCGGTCGTCTCCTCTGGTACACATCTTCAAACTCCGCTGAACTCATTGCATGGCATGTCGTCGGAGAGAAGGTCGCCGCAGCGGAAGTTGATGTGGAGCATGCGGAGCGGCACTTGGACATCACAAACGGCGCCGAGAAAGGAAATTTTGGCCAGGAGGGAAGGGGAAAGGCGGTCCGGAGATAAGAGGTATTAGTCGCCGAAACTCAAAAACTTTGCATACGTGCAGCACGAACCACCGGCGTAACTACTGACCGGACGAACCTCACGAACCCATGGAAAAGTCTCCGAAAGACGGCACTTGCTTAAGCAACTGCAACGACGGGGCCTCGGGTTGTTGACCGTGTCCGTCTGGGCTAGATTGAATTATACGCAAGTCTGGGATGGGGGGTTGTGCCCAAACTTGAACAGCGGAAACAGTGGTCAATCACCGTAGACATCAAAATTACCTTCCTAACGAACTTGGTTATCTCTCTCCCTGCCATACTTGGCAAGTTTCGCCTGTGGCATGAACAATTAGAAATTTGGTGCTGTATATGAGCGAAGACGATTCTACATATGCGAACACTATGACTTCAATCACAACGACGGCGGCTGATAATCCTTCGAAAACCTGAATCCCGAACAACGCTATGGTTGATATGCCCACAGAGGAGCTTTATCCAAAATACTGTCACAGTGCTTCTTCTTTTGCTGGATTTATCTTGGTTCATATAGTAGCAAGCCTCAATCGAGGACTTATGAATGTTGAAACCCATTAAGAGCTAGCAGACTTTACCAACCAGCGTTGCCCGAACGAATCACGTTTACAAAGGGAAATAAAAACTCACACTTCGATTCAAAACCCCCTATCTGGTAACAGCCATAGTACGGACCTGTCTTTTGGACGGAATAGATGATAGTCCCGTGGTACTGTCGCGGACAATCTCCATGAACTTTGACATGAGGGTAGTATGCTGATTCGCGGGTTGGTCTGAGCTGAAGTCTGAGCTTTGGGGCTGGCCCTATCGCTGTCAACCTTCGCCTCTCCCTTGTTGGCTCAATTCCTGGCTATACGGATGTTGTCTTGGGGGCGCCTTCGTTGTCGACGGCATGCCAGTCACCAGGCGTTTCAGCACTCGGCGTTGGTCTGGTAGGATTTGAGAGTCCTCTGTGAGACGGCACAAGACTTTGATATTAATCCAAGGGACATGTGATGGAGGGAAAGCGTACTCAAGCCCAAGATGCCGACCTTGGTCCAACCGTGAGACAACAGAGACATTCGATCTCACGCTTCGTATATCAAGTGATTTCGCAAACAGGCAATCACGGAGAAGCATGGAACACTCAAGTATCAACGAACAAAATGTATTTACGAAACAAAGCTCAAAGAAAGGCATTTTATGCCCGCCGGCGCATTTTATGCTCACCAGCACCGGGAGAAAAACGTCATACTCAAAAAAGAAGCATCGCGTTCAAAAAACTCCCACACTGCCCACTTCTCCCTCCCCAAATCCACGGGGAACAGGGCCATATTTCAGGCACCTGTCCCCCTCTCATATACCAAATCCCATAAATCCCCGGGGCCAGGCCGTCTTTCAGACCTGCTACCCCTCCCATATACCTAAGTTAAGTTGCCCGAAGGCTTGCCCGAAGGCCAAGAAAAAAATGTGCCCGAAGGCGACCCAAAGAATCCACGGGGCCAGAACCGTCTTTCAGGCCTGCGTACCCCTCCCGTATACCATTCCAAATATCCACGGGGCCAGAGCCGTCTTTCAGGCCTGCGAACCCCTCCCATATACCGGTCTTGCCCTTCCCCCTTCCCCAAGCTGTAGAATCAATCTGGTTGCTGCCTTTCGGCTGAGCAAACGCAAGAAAAGATCACGAGCAAAGGGTTCGAAGAGGGGAAGAGAAGAGAAGAGGGTTTAAAAAGGGCTGGTCGTAAGACTCAGCCGGTGTGCCCGTAGTAGCCCACCTGGTTCCCCCAGACCCCGTTGTACTGGTACTGGCCCAAGGCCGCCGTGTAGGAGGTGGCTTGGGGGTACTGGAGGGGGTAGGTCTGGGGGAAGGCGGCGAGGGCGGGAGGGGAGGGGACCTGGGCTCCGAAGTAGCCCATTGCACCGCCGGCGAAGCTATTGGCGTTCCCGTGTGATGCGGATGGAATACGCGCGGGAGCAGGGGCGGGAGCGGGAGCAAGAGGAGGAGTAGTCGAGGCGACGCGGAGGAGGGCGGCGGCGATGACGGGTATCGACTCCGGCTCCAACTTGCCCACCAACTCGGCTATCTCCTCTGGAGTCGCAGGTGCCATCTCCAAGGGAGGACTTGGCGGGGGTGTGACTGCTGCTGCTGCTGCCGCTGCCGGAGGAAGAGGGACGGGGGCTGCCTTCTGAGTAGGTGGCAGGGTCCAAGACGGCACGTAAGCCGGCCGGCTCTCGCGTCTGGTCCTCTTTGCTGTACGAGGCACCTCAGCTCCGAGCGGAGTGGCCGGCTGCTGCTTGGCATCCATGTCGAAGACGAAGTCGTCGAGCGCGTGACATGTGAGGCGGCCGTCCCATTCCGGGTTGTGGAGGAACCGCGGATCGCGCCAGGTGGAGTGGGCGGACTCGGCGAAGTGGTAGACCTCGACGACCCAGCCGTTGGCGAGGGCGGACTGCACGGCGGCGGGGAAGCCTCCCTCCATGTCGCCGTCGAGGTTGCCGTCGCCCGTAGCGAGGATCATGACGCCGGGGGCGCCGAGGTTGTCGAGGACGGCCTTGCGCATATGGTGCTGGACCGTCTCGTCGACCCCCTGCTCCTTCATCGCGAAGGAGCCCGCAGACGAGGAGGAGTTGTCTGCGGGTACCCGCAGGAGGACCTTGGCGGTGTAATCACACGCCTCGGCCTCCTGCAGGTACAGGGGGACGGAGGAAGGGGAGGAGGAGGACCTGCTGCTGCCGGCCTTGTTGTTGCGGGAGCCGACAATCACGCCCTCCTTGACCTCTCTGCCTCGCTCGAGTATTCCCCTGAATGCGTGGAAGGAGAAGGCGGAGGTTGAGAGGCGCTGGTCCCTAGACATGCCCATGCGCTTCTTCAGGTCGTTGAAGAAGGACACGGAGATGTTGGATCCGTCGGCGTAGATGTAGAGACCGCGGGCGCATTGCTCCGGGTAAGCTACGGCCAAGGACTCGTCGCGAGCGCCGAAACGCTGCTGCAAACGGGCGGCCAAGGGGAGCTGGGAGCTGGGAGGAGGTCTCTTGGCGGTCTGCTTGTTGAAGAGCCTCTCTCCCGCGTTGTCGTTGTCGGCGGGGGCGGCGGCGGCAGACGAGTCGGAATGGTAGCCCGAGTCTGAAGAGGCTCGAGCTACCATTCCGACAGCGACGGCAGCGACAGGCTTCTTGTCCTTGGGCTCGACCTTTGACCGTTTGGCCTCGGCCAAGTCCAAGGACTGGTAGTTGCGCTTGCTGCCAGTTCTGGCCATTTCTTCTGTGGTGAATATGAGAGGGAGGAGAAGAAGTGGCTGAGACTGTTTGCTTGAGGGGCTCTCTGACTTGCAAAGAGGCTCAAAGCAATGTAAAGAAGAAGAGTAGACTCTGTCTGGCGAAGAGAGAATACGTGTAGATGAGGTGGAAGTCTCGTGAACTCGCAGATTCTCAAACAGCTTGCTGAAATCTCCTAGGGAAGTAGGTGGTTGTGTAGGAGATGGAGAAGGTGAGTGAGATTCTGCTACGTCCGAGGACTGCAGAGAAGGGATTGGAGAGTCCATTTTATAGTGCTGGAGACGAAGAAGACGACGGTAACCCGTGTGGTGTCTCTGAGCAAGTTATCTGTATCCAAATGATACTTGAAGTATGGTGAAATAGTCAAGGTGCCGGGAACCTTCTTGGAAGCCGTTGGTGATAGTCAAGGTACCGGGAACCCTCTGGGAATCCCAGAGAGGGGATCAAGGTTGGGTGCTGTGACCAAGCCCCTTGGCCGTGACGGAAGGCGATTGGGTTTGGCGAGTGCGGAATAAGGGTGAAAACCGTGATACTCATCGGAGATAGCAAACTCTGCCCGAAACGGCCACCTCAAGTTGGCCGTAGATGTTCGAGAATCAGACCGGGTTCTCTCTGGCCAAAGCTCACGGTAAGAGCCTCAGGTATCTGGCTCAAACTGTGCTTCAGAGATTCGAGTAGCCGTATATCTTGGCCGAACAGGTTGAGGACAGAAAGACGGAGAATAGTTTCGGTGTGATATTGGGTATGTGGCGACCCAGTTGTCGACTTAGTTTTTGGTACTGGCCTGGCTGGCCTAAGTACACTCTTGATTTCGAGGTTTGAAGGTTGCCGCAGATCTTGGACGGCCGGGTTGCTATGATTCCCAGGTTGCTGGACTCGCAGAGAGAAGAAATGCCAGTCGTTATGTCGAATAATAACAATGTTTTGTTGTCGATAGCCTCGAGTCAGTTTTAGCTTAGACCCTTGAAATGACACCCAATGAAGAACTCGATGTACCAAAACAGTCAACGATCAAGGTGTGACTGAAAGTCAGATAGAAGGGAAACACCAATGTGAGCCGTGGGTGTATCGTAGCCGTCAAGTCGTAAAAGTCCTCCTACTATCCGCACGAAACGCCGACGCCACCCAAGAAGAACAAGGACGGGGCTATGCAGAATAAACACCGGGAGAATCGCGGATAGCTCGAACTCAAGAGAGAGACAAGCACAGCAAGGTAAAGAACAAGAAAGCAGAGACTCTGGGAAACAAAATTCAAAAGTCCTCGGTCCGACGACAAGAAGAACGGTTCAAGAGTTGGTGGATGAACTCGCCACGAACGGAATGCTTCAATCAGCTAAACCCGGGTAGACGAACGGTGAAGAGGAAAGTAGGTTGGGCGGTTGAGCAATATGGCGGATCGGATGCGGGCGTGTGTGTGTCGGTTTCCTCGGGTTTAGAGGGTGATGAAGTTCGTGAACTCGCGGGTTAAGAGAGAGATGAGAGAAGGCTGAAGTCGAAAGTGAGAAGGCGAAAAGGCGGTTATGAGTAAGAGTAAGGAGAGGTGAGAGGTAAGAGATGTAGTCGGAACTAAGAATCGAGAACGTCAGCGAATCATTCAATCCTAGCCGCCTTTGGGCAGAGCGAGGCTCAATTAGCGTGCTGCGCTGCATTTGCCCCTCACCCACGCGAATCGGTTCGCCCAAAGGAAAGGGTCCGATCTCTGGTGGCTCTGGGTGTATGTAAAGTGGGCGGGCACACGGGCACAAACGTCCGCTCGGGTTGGATGGGCAGGACTGGGTACTCTATTCATTACACTACCATTCCAGACTCATATATAGAGGAGCAGAGTCTCGATTTCACGTCTTTTGTGAGTGGTAAAGCAATATGGGAGTAGGAGTAATCATATAGAGATGAATGCCTCTAATTTGGTCTGACAGGCGAGTTTCCACGTTGAGATCTCATCAGGAATAGAACATCTAAATGCTAAGCAACTCACTCAAGATTCAGCGGTAGAGTCACACAAGTCGGCACATGACCTTGGGGGGCGAATCAGATCTACGCTAGTGCCCCTTGGTCGGGTCCAGCTCTGGCCTGTCGGGTTCGATGCACTGGAGAGCTTGCGTCTCATTGCGTGTGATTGGTGCAAAGTCGTGCTAAATATGGGGTAGGGGTTCTGAGGCAAAAAACTGCCAAAGAAGCATGGAAGGTTTCCAGACGCAGTACTGCCGTGACTGCGTACAGTAAGTGGCCGGAGGAACTCGGCCGGGCCGCTCCCTCGATGGCGCAGGTACAGCCCGCCAGCCACTCACAGAGCTTGGTCTCCCAGATCAGCCTTTGTCTTGTTCATTTTAAGTTGTCTTACTCCCCTTCAAAGGCTTCGGGGTTGGAGGGTGCATGGTGATGAAGATTACCAAAATGTGTGGTTTGGCGTAGCGCTGATGGATTCAGCATGGGTACTCAGATTGAATCGTGGCAGAACGCACTTGGATCAATACTCATAAATAGACACCAAGTCATTCATGGAATGAGACCATTCATCAACAGTTCCTGTGTAGACATGAAATGCATCAAGGGCAATGATGGTAAAACACGCCTGGAAACAACGGGACCTCTGAATACTGTTCATCTCAATTGTGCAAATTAGGTACTTGAACAGGCATCATGAGTATCGTATCATGATGCCCTGACGATGATAATCTTGTTGATACGGTGAGCCATTTCGTTTTCCCCTCAAAACTCCAGAAAGCCAAAAGGTATCACAGCAGTCCGACCCGCCGAAAAAAAAACTCCGCTCCCTTTCTACCCAGGAGATCGAATCCTCCCTGCCTTACCCAAGGCCCTTCAATTACAAGCTTGTATCGAAGGGACAGAGAGAAGCAGGAATGGTGTCGCTAGAATACACATTGATGTCGCTCAGTCCGTTCAATCAGTGAGCAGGCTTGGGCGTGCGCAGACTGGAGTGGACAAAGTAAATGTCCTCGAGGTAATTGGCACGCTTCGCCTCATCGGCTCGCTCCTCCTCCTCTTCTAGCTCCTTTCTCGTCTTCTTGCGGCGAGCGGCGCGCTGCTCCTTCATGAGGCGATCGTGACCGTCGAGATCGCCCTCCTCGCGCATGCGCGACGTCTCCTGGGCGTGCGCCTCGACGTAGCGGACCAGGGAGTCGGCGGCCCAGTCGCGCAGCTCATCACCCGTCTTGCCCTTGGCGGGTTCGGTGACCTTGTCGAGGGCCATCTTGACCTTCAACTCCTTCTGCTTGGCGACGGCAAAGGGCTTTGCGCGGGAAGCACGTTCGGCCAGCCATTGCGGGTTGCTCTTAGCAAGGTAGGCGAGGCTGTGGCCCGAGTTGGCATTGTCTGGGGCGAGGCCGTGTTCGGGGCGGGCGATGGGCGGTGTGGAGTAGAAAAAGATTCTGCCGTTCTCGTCCCTGTTGTACTGGCTGCGCACCTCTTCGGGGATCTGGTCATTGAGGGACTCAGCCAGGGTAAAAACCTCGGGAGGCCGAGGGGGGTTGTAGGCATTGGCGGGCTGCATGGCATTGGGCGTGTTGGCCATGGGGGTGCGGGCTGCAGCGGGATGAGGCTGCATTTGATGATGGTTGTAGGTCGGGCCGCCCATGGGATTTGCTGGCATCATTTGTGGATGCATTTGGTGGTGGCCGTGCTGTTGCTGGTGGTGGTGCTGCTGCTGTGGGACCGGCGCTTGGGCCTGATGGTGCTGGTGCTGTTGGTGCGGCGGGAGGTGGTGCTGCTGCTGGAACTGAGGCGCTGGAGGGGGCGGGCCTTGATGGTGGTGCTGCTGCTGGTGCTGCTGCTGCTGAGGGTGCATGTGCTGTGGTGCGTGGTGGGGATGGTGCTGTTGCTGGTGCTGATGGTGCTGTGGGTGCTGCTGGTGCTGGAATGGGCTAGGCGCAAATCCCTGCTGCTGGTACATGGGGCGGATGGGCTGCTGCGGAGAGTGAGACGCCTGGTGAGGAAGTTGGGGTAGAGGCACCGGCGTTTGATGGTTCACCGCGACTGGCGATGCTGAAGCATGCTGAGGCGTGTACTGCTGAGCATACATTGCTGGCGACGGAGACGGCGCAGCTCCCATTCCGTGCCCATAAGGCGTGGGAGGATTACCCATCGACATGTCGCTCGGCGTCTGGCGCATCGCCTGGAGAACTGAAGGCCGTCGCGCAGGCTCTTGGCTCATGGGCGGCGGAGAAGGCGTGGGCTCAGGTGGAGGAGATTCCTGTACGATCAAAGTCAATTTTGTCACTAACGGAGAAAACCAAGTGAAGGCCAAATGAAGCCCAAAAGGTAGGCTGTGAGAGACGGAAAAAAGAAAAGAAAAAAAAAAAAACTAACGCGCAAGAAAAAGAGTGAAAGTGAGGGTGAGTATGGCAAATTGCAGAGCAAAGGTAAAGGGTGAGGGTGAGAATGAGAATGAGAATGAGATCAAGAGTGAGGGCAAGAGTGAGAGTAAGAGGTGAGGGCACAATTTCCTGCTGCGAAGCACGTCTGATACGGGATGCAGGGTGTTGTTATCCCACACGCGTCGCTCCCTTTATCTGCCTGCACTGCATAACCGAGAGGGACGACGAGAGGGTGTGCTGGTGCTGGTGCTGTTGGAGGGTTGGCAATTGTCCCATCCACCTCCTTCATCCAGGAGGCGGCACGGTAAGGCTGTGTGGTATTCGTCCAGGTGTTCCAGCGTGTATACCGTATTGCTGCACGACACCCGTCCGGCCCAGGACCATTCTGATAAGATCAAACAAAAGGAACAGCAGCAGGGAAAACAGAATGAATCACATCCCAAACTCACATTTGATTCTCGAGGGCGCCGATGCACGGCACCAATAATGGGCGGTGCGTTTGCTGCCCCCCAGGTCGGTTTCGGGAGCTCATCCGTTTCCTTCGCATCCGCCTGCAAGAGGTGTTTGATTGGGCTGGGCACCTTCTTGAGCCGCCGCGGCTGATCAAACAGCTTCATCTCGTAGTCCTTCTCCCGCACTTCGTCGGGCACGCAGCTCGTCCACGTCTTGATCTTGTTGAACTTACAAGTCGCCTCGTTGTACCGAGACTCGCACACGTACACCTCCTTATCCGCCGGCAGAGTACGCGGCCGTCCTTTATTGAACCGCGTAACGAACATGACGAAGCATCGGTCGAGCACCTCTTCGATCTGGTGGTCGCGATACTGGCCCGTCTTGGCCACCTCGTTCTCGAAAAAGTGCTTCTCGAACCTGTGCACCGTCTGCTCGGGACGGTAGTACCAGCAAGCGTTGATCCATCGCTGTCCAGCTCGGTCTTGCCAAGTTCGGAATATTTGCGCGACAATGGGTTTGGCCATGTCGTTGACATTACGAATATGCACCCAGTCGCCTACACAATGTTAGCACCCCGATTCATCCTTTCCGAATGGCCCAAGGACCGGGAACAGAACTTACCGACTCGCCATGCCTGGCCGTTGTGCTGAATTTCCGATAGTGGCAGTTTGCCATCCTCGTCACGGAATTCATCGTCTGGCCTCGACTTTTCCTGCGCAACCAGCTCACGTGCTTGCTTCTGCAGCTCGACTGCGGCTTCATAAATATCACTGGCTTCCTCGTTGTACTCCTTTGCATTGTTGAACATGAGGTCGATGTCCTTGAGCGCATCGTCGACAGTCGAGTATTTCTTCCTCTTAGCATTCCTCTTGATGTTGTCGAGCGCAATAGGGTTGGCGATGACTTGGTAATAGTCCGGGTTCGCAAGCTTATCGGGCAGCTTCTCAAAGGGACCAATGAGCAAGTCACCGTCGTCTGACTGAAACTTGCGCAGACCCTTGATGACGTTGTGAATACGCGCTTCGAGCGGTGTCAAGACTTTGGGAGGGCGGCCGCGCTTCTTATGTTCGTCTTCCTCCCGGGCCTCCTCAAGCTGGCGCTTGGTGAGCGAGGTTCGGCCACGCCTCCTGCTTCGCCGGCGTTTTCCGTCATCGTCGGACTCGTCCTCTTCCTCCTCTTCCTCTTCCTCCTCCTCCTCTTCCCCTTCGTCCTCTTCGGATTCGGCCTCTGGCGACGAGTCTTCTGCGGGCGGGAGCTCGCCCAAATCGGGAAGCTCTGCCTCTTCAGACTTGATCGTGCCTTTGGCAACGAGTTTCTGCAACTCCTTCTTGAAAAGGTCTCGGATGACGGTGGCACTCTTAAAGATGGCCGAGGAAGGCCGATTATACACCTGCGCATTGTGACAAATCTGTGCAAGATCGCGAACAAACTCGGGGAAATCTGTGTACAGCTTCTTTTGGATCTTGTGCTACTCGGGGTCAGTTCTGTGTCGTGCCAGCAAGGCTCTACGAGTAGGCAGGACATACGCGAATGGTGCTGAAGGCGATGGGGTTCTCGATGATCTCGAAGTAATCTGGCAGTTGACGTTTATTCGGGATGCGCTGGAAACTAGCCGCCCACCATTCACCGCTGCAATGACAACTAATTAGCAGCAAGACAGGCAAGGGGTGCGTCTGATCCGGACGTACTCTTCATCCTTGTAGTTGCTCACGGTTGAGCTGATGGTTTGGATGACGTCCAAAAGGTCGCCAGGCTCGGATTCCGCGGGGGATGCGACACCATCATCTGGGTCTCCGTCTGCATCAGCGTCTGCGTCAACTTCGCCATCCGCATCTGCATCTGCGTCTGCGTCTGCATCTACGTCAATGTCGCCATCTGCATCCGCTTCACCGTCCGCGTCTGCGTCGGCATCGGTGTCGGCGTCGGCGTCGGCATTCGCAGCAGCGTCGATATCCATTTTGTCGGATTCAGCCGGTTTTGCAGAGACAGTCAATTCGGGTTGCTTGGCTTCGGCGGTGCTGGCGTCGGGTGCGTCGGTCATTTCGACATCCTTGGTGACCTTGGCCTCGATGGACTCGCGCACTTCGGGCGCGTCGCTGCGCGTCGCCATAGTCTTGTTCAACCTCTTTTGGGGAATCGCAGAACGAGGGCAGCTTAAGGAATCCTTTTCTCTCTGACGACAATTGAAGACAGAAGAATTCAAGCGAGACTCTGGGCCCTCTTGATTGGCAAGGTCGAGTAGGAGAAGGGGTCGAGAGCTTCCGTCGCAAAGGTGGGATTCTACAAGTTACTACGTTTCTTTGGGGGGAGCTGAGGAATTGAAGGTTTGCGAAAGCAGTGAGGCGGGAGCTGGCCGGGGTCCTACGGGTACAAGTGGTGCTGCGAGGGGATGTTAGCAAGGAACGAGCCCGGGGCCTGTCGTGGCCTCTTCCGGCTCCACCTCGGCTAACTGGAATATTGGCGGCGGGCAATTGAGTGAGACTTAGATCAACGGCTTCCTTTGTACCTTGCGCCGTCCAACGGGTGAGAGGGAACTTGATGGTGCCATCTTTTGTACCTTCCTCTCGCCTCTTTGAATAGCTTCTTCTCATCTCAGAGTGAGTTGAGAGAGAACTAAAAGAAAGAGTCATTGGTAAGTTGATCAAGGCTTTTTCTTGAACTTTTATTCCTCAAAGCCTTAGGAATAGCGTTATGAGTTCGTTCCCTCATGTGACCTCTCTGTCTCCTACCTGGCACTATGATATCCTATATCTCCGTTCTCTGCGGGACACTTAATGCCTGTCCCATAGTTTTGGAGACAGCTATATCCAGCTCTACATCAAAGCTCCTCATAGCTCGCAACGTGTTGGCAACGCTGCTTACTTACCAACTCTATAAGAACTCGGCGGAGAAAAGACAAAGTGGGTGATTGCAACGTGGAACCATGAAGTCATTGTCACTGCAGCAGTGTCTATTGGAGTAGTTCTCCACTTGGAAACAATCAAAGACAAGCACAAACCTCCAATCCCAGCACCCGGAACCGTGGACGCCGTCATCCTCTAGGTTCTCGAGTCGGACAAAGCCACTGCCCTACCAGAGTGTCCAGAGCCTCGGTCTGACCTGGCCCGCCTTGGGTGCTTAGGTTGAAATAGCTACGCTCCAGCTGTCAAAACGCTCAGACTCGATTTCCCACGTCTTCCCGCGTTCCAAACATCACACAACCTGTTCAAAGCAGCTTTCTAGAGCTACTTAATAAGCGGAGAAGCTTCTAGTGCATCCGAACTCTCGGCAGCAGCTGTTCTACCCCTACCTTACCTTAAGCTTGCGGTGCCACCTCTGCAAGTCAACTCCATCGTTTTGGATCAGACATAGTTGCAGAAGCATCCTTCCCGCCTCCTTCACCGAGGAATCTCGCCCTAGTCTCTCTCACGCTAGAAGACTCTACGAAGCTAATCAGGATCGAAACTCGAGTCAAATCGGGCCCAACTCAACGCACATTCTTATTACCTACGTCTCACGTTTAGATTCCTTGGCACTCGAGTCCCCAGAGAACCCGCTGTTGGTACTCTGCGATAAGATAAACCCCTCCGTTCGAACCCCGCCATCAAGAGCTTGGTGACCATCGGTTGTCCGTCCGGATCCGTCCCCGGCTAAGATCGTCTACCGTCAGTCGCTACTCCATCTCATTCTGAAGCCTGTGCGTCATTGCACCATCAGACATCTATCTCAGCTTGCTATCTTGACTTTGGCCCGCAAACTAACCATCTCACAGATCCCCTCAGCAAAGCAAAGCACTTCCGCATCCATACTCACAATGAGAGCCAGATACAAGGGTCCGGGAGGCACAGGCGTCGTCTCACTCGAGGACACCGCAACAGTCGGAGACCTCTTCAACGAGATCAAGGACAAGACGGGCATCGCCGAGTTCACCCTCAAGTACGGCTGGCCCCTCCAGACCCTGACCCTCGAGCACAAGGACGCCAACGCCAAAGACCTCGGCCTCAACGGCCAGTCCTTCAGCATCGAGCCGGCCCACCATCGCGCAATCACACCTCCTCCGCCCGCCGCCGCCGCCTCGGCATCTCGAGGCCCGGAGGCGGCCAAGAAGCCCCGCCTCGATCCCGATGCCGACCCGTCCCCTTCGGACATCAGCATCCCGTGGCCGGAGCGTGAGTCGACGTTACGTGAGTACCCGGCTGCCTTTCACCCCCAAACTACTTCCCATCTAACATAGATCCCCAAGTCCTCCGCGTGATGCCCGACGACAACAGCTGCCTCTTCACCGCTTTCGGCGGCGCCATCCCAGGCAAACAAATGGAAGCCAAAGAGCTCCGCAAAATGGTAGCAGACTACATCCGCCAACACCCAGACGACTACCCCGAAGCCGTCCTCGACATGCCCGTCGAAAAGTACATCCGCACAATCCAAGACCCCGAGCGCTGGGGCGGCGCCATCGAGCTCGGCATCTTCTCCGACCTCTTCGACCTCGAAGTCGTCGCGTTCGACGTCAAATCCCAGAATCCGCTGCGCTTCGGCGAGAACAAGGAATCGCGCTGCATCCTCGTCTACTCGGGCATCCACTACGACCGCATCGCCTGCAGCCCCTCGGAGCCCCCTCACTACGCGCACTCGGACCTGCCTCCGGAACTCGACAGGACCAACTGGAGCACCGCCGACGACGAGGTTCTCGACCGTACGCGCGCGCTGATTCGAAAGTTGCACGAGATGCACTACTTTACGGATACCACCGAGTTCTTACTGCGGTGTACCGTGGCCGGGTGCGACTGGTTGGGCAACGGGCAGAAGGAGGCCAATAAGCACGCCAAGGCGACGGGGCACATGGGCTTCAGCGAGATCAAGGATGAGCCTGCGGGTGGTGGTGGTGGTGCTTCGGGTGGTGACGGCGCCGGTGCAGGTGCTGGTGCTGGGGGTGCCTTTGGCGATAATGCGCTGCGCAAGTGCGATGCTCCTGGGTGTGAGTGGTTGGGCAGCGGTACGGCCGAGGCTAGGATCCATACGGGCGCGACGGGACACACTGCGATGACTGAGATTCCGGACTTTTGATGAACAGAGACAGGGCCTATTGATATATGCATGGCGGGGCGGAGTTGTTGGGCACGGTTATATGAGGAACGGGAAACGATGACTCGGGGAGTTTGACTTATTTTCAAATCGAGAGATTCTCATCGGGAAGTGAAATCTTACAGCTTTGTGATGAGTTTGGCATTTCACAAGTGAAACTTACATAAAGATTCGATGACTACAATATCTCGTGACTACGCTTGCCCAACCTCATTCGACTCCAATCAAACTTGACCTCGCAGCTCTCGTTCAATCGCTCAACGAGACAGCCAGCAGGACGGAAATGTAAAGGAGAAGCGAAAAGAGAAACACACACACAAGCTCCATCTCAAATTCAAAAAGAGCCGACACCTCTCACACTCAACACACCTTCCACAAACCCAGTCTCATTGCCTCACTCCTTATACGTCAACCCACCACCGTAGCTATGCTGACTATTCGCCCCGCCCTTGGTAACAGTCCCCTCCTTCACACCCGTCGCGAAAGCGCAGCTGCCCAGGTCCCGCTTCTCGACTTTGCCCGCGCCCGGCGAGATGTCAAAGTCGAAAATGTCCATGGGCAGGCCAATGGTCGTGCACGCGTTGGGTATGTCGACGATGCCCGCGACGTGGCCCTGGATGGGCGCGCACGACATGAGGAGGTAGACCTGGTAGTCGCTGTAGCCGAAGCGGCGGAGGTATTCAATGACGCCTTGACGTTTACGTTAGCATACCGCTCACCAACAATGTCTTCCAGTCACAACATTCAAGGAAGCAGTGAGTTAAATGCTACTTTGAGGAAGAAGAAGGAGAGAAGGAAAAAAAGAGGAGGAAACGTACGAAGACACGTCTGACGATAGGCGACGGTAACATCCATGTAATGCTGCTTCCCGTGCTGGTCGACCGAGAACCCTTCAAAGTAAATGTGCCGCCCGGGACCGAACTGCGGCTCGACGGGGCCGGGGATGTAAATGGGGGACTTGAGGTCCAGGTCGGCGACGCCGTTCTTGATGACTTTGAAGTTTATCGTGATGACGCCCGCCATCTCGATGGCGCCGCAAAAGGAGATTTCTCCGTCGCCCTCTGGGATATGGTTAGTGAGCTACCTGATGGTATGGATGCGTGGCCATAAGAGAGATATGGCAAAAGCTAGGTTGGTTTCGTTTGAAACTTACGAGAGAAGTGTAGGTCGCCGACGCTGAATTTGGCGCCGGGGACGTGGACGGGGAGGTAGACTTTGCTTCCTCTGCTCAGATTCTTGATACTACACGCCCATCAAAGTCAGTGCCCATCATTGTCATAATCATCAAGTTTAATCATCCCCTTGCCCAACTTTCCTCGTCAAAATCCCCTAAAGGGTAGAAGAAGAAAGCAAAGAGAATGCTCAAAACTCACTCGCAGTTGCCGCCATGCTCAGGCCGCCCAGGAATCGTCCTGGCCCCCTCCTTACCGACCTTCTCCTTGAGCTCCGCGTCCGCCGCGCCGGCGTGCACGTTGATCGGCTCCGGCGGCTTCGCGACGTCGCGGTCGAGCTTGTTGGCCGCGATGAGCTCGCCCTCTCGTGCGTTCCAGGTGTCGAGGACCTCGGCGGAGGGGGCGCACCCCAGGATGCCCGGGTGGATGAGCCCGGCGAATTTCACTCCCGGGATGTGTCTCGAGGTGCAGTAGATTCCTTCAAAGTCCCAGATTGCTTTTGCCCTATTTGCGTGCACAGTGTTAATATGGGTTGTTTTTCGGTGAGAGAGGATGAGAACGGTGAGGATTGCGTTCATTATGTATGATACGTAAGTGTCGTTGGTGTTCGTGAGAGTGAGTAGCGTGATGTGACCATGAAACAACTTACGCCGTAGGATACAATTCATCCAAAAACCCACCACCATTATTCTTATCAAACACACCGGTAAAACCCCAAGGCTGATCCTCAAACGGCTGGACGTCCATAATCTCCACCAGGAGCAGGTCACCCGGCTGAGCGTCCTCGACCTCAAACGGACCGCTGAGGTAGTGGATCTTGGTCAAGTCGACGTTGAGCATGTCGTCCGCCGAGTCGTTGTTGCCAATCTGGCCACCGGTCCTGGCATTCTAGCGTGAGTTTGTTGAACACTAACAGACGCAGGTGAAAGGAAGAAGGGTGATTTACCAGTCTACGCATTCAATCTTGACTGTCTCGCCATTCTTGATGGTGCCGGAGAAGGGGACTTTGAGAGGGGGCTGGTTAGAGGGTATTGTGACTTGGACTCTTTTCGATTAAAGCACTCACTATCTGGATGCCATCTGTTCTGGTTTTGACGTCAATAAACTTGATGCTCTAGGCTTACATCAACGGCACTTGGGCACTTACATGCAGGCCAGGCTGCTCAGAGGCCGGCTTGTCAAAGCTGACCTTATTGGCCGTACGGATGCCAGTCTTGCCCATGATGGAATGATTGAATGCAAAGTTGATTGTATCAGGCAAGCGATTCCAAGACAACAGACTGAGATGAAAAGTTTACTTGTCGTTATGAGATTGAGTGCCAGGACAGGTCGCTCTGCTTTCTAGTGTAGTAGATATACATGCATCCACGCCAACGTCTCCAAACTACCCCGCCCTGAGCTCCTCGGAACTATCTCACCCAGCGAATGAGACGCCTTTCACTCCTGCCTCGTCTGGCTATCTATCCCGAGCATGGGATTATCCCCAACTGTAGTGTGTGAGAGTGGTGGTGGCTGCTGGGGAGTTGCAAGTGCGGAGCTGGGTGCGGGCTGATAAGAGCTTTTGCCCGATACCGTAAGAGGCTTGTGTCTGGCAACCCCCGCATTGGCTCCGCCCGTCGGCCAGTCTCCAAAAACCAATCGATAAGACGGCGTGGTGATCTCATGTCGCATGGCTGCTCCTATCATAAAACGTAATTGATTGGAATCCGGGGGTTGGCTATCTCGGCATCTGTCGTTTACGCCTTGTCGGTCCCCTTCACCCGTACTGTTGCAGAAAAGAGCATTGCAAATGTCCGCAGAATGTCACCCTATCCCGGCATGTCTGGATTCACGCGATTGAGTTAAGCCTACGGATAGCGAACCCCGAGAAGCGACAGATGAACAGACACCCTTGCCGTTCCCTTGCCATTTGCCTACTCGTGCTTTTGAGCATCACCTGTCGGGTTGGCCGGCCGCGACTTGAGGTGAATGGCATCAATATCGCCGAGGGAGAGGTTGAGGAATTCGTGCTTGTTCGTCCACTCCTGCTGGCTCGCGGCGAAAGCAGCCTTCTCGGCGGGAGGCGGGGGAGGATCGGTAATCTTGGTAATCAGGTACGCCGTTGAGGCCTCTGCGATACCGTAAATCAAGACACCAACGAGCGGGATCTTAATCAGTGTGTAGAACCCGATGGCGAAACCGAACAGCAGCCCCTCGCGGTTCCGGAACCAGTTTCTCTTCTGCTCCTTGGTAAAGTGCACACGAGAGAAGTACGGCTCTAGCAGCTCTCTCATCAAACTCCTCGACGCAAAGTAACTCTGCAGGAAGATGACGATGTACCGCTTGGGCAAGAAGATGCCTGTTCCAAAGATGACAGACGCAGGACCCAATCCAACGGCATTATTGAAGGTGTAGAAACTGGCTGCGGGCAGCACGAATCTACCGACGATGGGTAGGTACGACAAGGCGAATACGGCGAGGGAGATGGCACCCTTCCGAGCGAAGCGGTACAGGAACATGCTGATGGCTTCGGCCGTGCTAGTCGTGTGGGTGCTGCCGTCGCTGACCTTGTACATCTTGAGGTTGGGATAGTACATATCTCGAAGCTTGGTCGGGTCTTCATGCTTGTGTTTCTGGACGTACGTCTTGTCAACCCAGTTCAGCGAGTCCATAAACCTGCCTCCACGTTAGCAAAATACCCAAGGGCTGGGGAGGTAAGATGCGGACTTACATGTTGTCGAGCGTCGGGGTGACGTAGCGCATCAGCGCCATGAGGAAGAACGGGACCTGCAAAACATATTCCTCGATGAAGTTGAGGCCACCAACAAGCTGGTCGTCCCAAGTGACATGGTCCAGGCTCAAGAAGAAGGACAGAATCCAGAGAAAGACTCTGACACCGATGATCTATTGCGCTGTGTCAATACCTGCTATGAAGAAAGCAGGAGTATCTCGGTGGTTTTTCGTGCTCCTGGCGCAGGGGTTAAGGTAGACATACGGGAATGGAGATGACGAGACGGATGGCAAGGCCACTCAAGACAGCAATGCCGGCTTGTCGGTAGTGGTCCGACGTGAACAAGGCAGGGTTTTGAAGGGCTCGTTGAGCTTGTTGGCAGTTAGCATTTTGAGCTGTGTCAATAAACTCCAAAAGGAATGGAGTCTGGATGCCGTGTCCATGGTTCCATCAACTGACCTCCAACCAGTGTCAACTGAATGCCACGCAGGATTTGGTTCAGGTCGAAGTGGGAGAGGTCGAACTCCCGCTTGAGCCTCTCCTTGTCAATGGGAAGCTTGTCGAGCTGCTTGTCGATCTGGCCCTCAAGCTTGTCGCGCCTTTGACCCTTTTCGGAGGTCGCCATGGTTTCTCGAGGTTGTGAAAGTGACGATGCCGATCACCACGAACGTTACTAGGTGTTGAAGTTCAAAATGTCGAGGGTCTTGGAGGGGCACGCGAGCTGTTGCGACCTCGTCAGCGCAGGGCTGGTTGCTTGGCCGGGAGCTAAACTTGCTGGGAGCTGGAGCTGAGTGTGGCGGGCAGACGATGACGACACCCATACCGGGGGTTAGTGGCTGAGAGACCTAGTACCTCACAACGCTGCAGCCGGTACATCCGGAGGACTGGATGGTCCGAGCTTCACCGAGTGCCGGGAAGCCCCCGTAGTCCTTATCTTATCGATATCAAAGATAAGACCAACTAAGTGAGTCCAGGAGCTTCAAGTGCCTTGAGGTAAGGTACCTAGCAGGGTAGGTAGTTTTGGTATTGAAACTACCAAACCACACAATTGAGGCGCCTCAGAGGCAAAATCATTCGCTTGTGTGAGGGCGAGCTGCATGGCGATGCATCAACGCAGAACCAGTCAGCTCCGATGATCGGGTACAAGTGGATTGCACATTGGAAGATGTGGCACCGGTTCATGTCGAGTTGCTGCGGCTGCGGCTGCATTGCGCACGCGTCGAACTTGCATCCCAGAACGCGTCCCTGGGCTAAGAGCTGGAACCCCTGCATGCATTGCTCAAAGCTCGACAGCTCGAAGCTTTGAAGCTCAGAGCTTTCAATGGACCAATAGCAGGTCCCTGAATTGATTGTTAACCCCCAGGCATGCTGAGGCTCTTCAGGGTAGGTATAAACCCCAGGCGTTATATCTGCAATTGAATAAGGCGGCTGTTGTCATGGGGGACCCGAGGCTCTTGAAGCTTTTTTGGAAACCTCGGAAGCTAGTTTCTGGTTGAGAATGCGGTGAGGGCCGAAATGGCAAGGCAACACGAGCTCTCTAAGCCTCAATTTTTCAAAAGCGAGGGTTGCAAGTGCGGAGCTGAAAAGGTATCCGTAACCAAATATGAACACTACTGAAAATGCCAGGTTTCCACTGGATTTTATGTTGAGGTTGCCCCGTCTCATCTTTGCCGTTTTCTTCTAAGCGAACATTACAACGCCTGGGCTCCCCCATATCGATCCCCATACGGAGTACTTACACGCAGTACTCCGTACGGATAGTCATGAAAAAAAATTAAGGGTGCATTTTGGCTGGGATACGTCGGCTGTCCCCGGTGCGACCCTCCAATGGATTGCGGACGCGGCACCTTATTCGCGAAGCGACTACGACGTGCAATCTCCAGGTTAGCTCCAGATGGGGCCGGGCACATCACGAGGGCACGCGCTTCAGTGAGCCTAGTCATCCTAGCTTGTTCTCCAGATCTATCTAGATGGTCTCCGTGCATAAGAAGAAGGAGCAAGTGAGAGATCAAAGCAAATTGGATCACAACAAGATGGGTGACGAGAATCTAGCATAGCAGACTCAGATCAGGTATGAGAGACGGTGAGTGAGGGGGCGAGTGAGTGAGAGAAAGAGAGAGAGGCATGTGAAAGCCAATCAGGATATGCTTGAGTGAGTGAGAGGGTTCGTTTTGTCTCAAACTCCCGCATTACTGGAATTGAGGGTCTCTCCTATAATTACCAGGTGGCAATGCATGTTCAGCATCACTCTACTGTGTACGGAGTATGAGGCTGCCAGCGTGTTTGAGCATTAGCAATCGACTCGAATGAGGTAAAGTGAGATGATGAGGTACGTCAGGCAAGGAATGATCCAGGAGCAAGGGAGAGAGAGAGAGAGAAAGAGCAAGTCTCACTCATCGTACGGCCACAGGGTCGAGCGGTTAAGGACGGTGCCCAGGTGGGTGCGGGGCGCGGGGGGCCCATCGCTATCAAACGGCGACGCGATGGTTCAGGAAACCGGCAGCGTCAGAACCCCCCCCGTCGGGCGCGTGTTTCCTCCAAAGCCTCGAACGAGTCCCCAAGAAGCCGTGACATCGTTAACCCCTGGTCGAACCATGAGCAAATCCCAAATCCGTCCAAGCTTCATCATCTTTTGTCCATCCCCCCCTCCCTGTCGCCTTGCCTCAATCTCAATTATCAAAAACCTTTTTTTTCCCTTCACCTTACTTTCCTCCGCTCTCCGCCTTCCGGTCCCTCTTCCTCTCCTCATTCGCTTCTCCGGGGATATTCTTCACACCCATCCTCTTCTTCTTCCATTCCATTCGCTACCTATCGTGTGGTGGCACAAGTGTTTCTTCTTCATCTGAAGGGTACTGAGACCGGAGCAAGACATTCTATTTCCTAAGTTGCCGATTCTCGCTCGGCTCAAAAGGGGGTCCACGTCCTTCCGCGCCGCTGCATTGGGCCCGTTTGTTTGCCCGTTTCTCGGATCCCTCAAAAATTACCCCCTTGCTACGGCCAGCATATCAGTCTTTCGCTTCCGACGACCAAGGCCGGCGCGCTAGACCTACGCGACGCAAATCGATAACGCCAAACCAACGTCACCACCGACGACAACTTTCTCCTCTCAAGGCCTGTCATGCACTCGGTGTCAGTTTCGACATGACCCAGGTCCGATTCGTTGCACTCGCTCGTCAACTGATAGTTCCCGCACGTACCTGACGACACTGATCTCCTCTGGCCGAGCTCCCATACTCTCCCTTTCCCTAGGGATACCACGATGGAATCTCTACGTCCTGCTTATCCGGCTCCTCGCCGCGTCGCAACTGCCCCGATACCAGCACATATGTCACGCCCGGCACCGTCCACATCGGCCGGTGGCCTTGTCGAGACACTATACAACCACCCAAATGTCAAGATCGTAGCATTCGCTGCTGCATCCAGAGGCCGAGCTCGGAGTCCAGGTCGCGGCCCTTCAGATGAGCCCGGCTCTTTGTCTGCCCACTCGCAGCTCGAGAGGACGATTGCCATTGGTAAGTCGCGCAAGTCCATCAACGTTCTCATGGCCATTGCTGATTGAGGGCCATCCCAATAGGGCCGTTCCGAATATACCGTACAGGATCCGTCGCCTTCTTGAACTGCGGCTCTGCTCTGCAGCCAATGTTGCCCAAAAGCCAATGCTGGGCCCTTGCCGAAGACTCGAGCAAATTCGTCCTACAAATTCGCCGACCCAATTACTGGAGGATTGAGATTCCCGTCACCAACGCCGATGAACAGGAACTGGCTGCGGCACTGAAGGGTGTCTGGGATCAAATATTGCAATTCGAGAAGACGGAATGCCCTTTCAAACGGTCCTTTACCGTCATCCTCCCCGAGAAACCAAAAACACCCGTGAAAAAGCGACCATGGACACCCCCGGTTAAACGAGCCCTGCCAGTCCTTTCGACCCCAGCTCACGAAGTCGAGGTATCACCGACGCCCAAAGCTTTGACGCCAAACACCGGCAGGAGAGCTTCGACATCTTCTCTCCGCGGCCGAAGCGAGCAACGCCGGCTCTCCACTGTCAGCAGCGACTTTCACTCAAGCTCAAGATCCCGTGATCCGAGTGCCGAGATACCGAAAGCGGCAGAGTCCACGGATGCTGCGCTGACTCCCACGGCCGAGAGACAAGCCGCTGCTTCAGAATTGAAGATCCCGAAGCGCGGAGCGGAGGCAACCCGCAATATTGATAGCAACAGTACGGCTCAAGAGATGACCCATGAGGAAGGTCCTACGTGTGACGTAGTCAAGATGGAAAACACCGAGCCCAAGGGGAGTCACGAAGAAGCCACATTCGAGAACTCAATCGCCGAGGAAGTGGAGCCCGAAGATGAGGTTTGCCAAAAAGACCCGACGGTTCCCGCCGAGGAGCCATCAGCAAAGTCACTAGGAGTCCAAGTTACGAATGGTGACATTGGCGGCATTGATGCACACCACAACACTGGCAAAGAGGTGACTGCCGCCGCGGTCTCACCAGTATTGCATGCCGCCCCGCTACAAGCACCTGTGACAGTACCTTCGACAGAGACGGTCGATCGCGAAAAGGACGCCCAGAGCCCTGAGGTTTCCCAAGTTTCCATTAAAATCGACGACTCATTGACCCAGCCAAAGGAAAGCAAGACAGACATCCAGGTGGAGACTCTAGTGACTGTTCAGCGGCCAGCAACTGATCGTAGGCTGCCAAACGATATCAAGGAACAGCTCGTCACTGTGGAGGCATTGCCCAAGACACCTCTGTCGGCTGAGGCAAGCACACCAACGCCCACTAACATTTATGACGTGATCCGGAACTACGAGATCAAGATGGCCGCTGCAGTTCCCGAGTCTACGCCGGCCCCTGAACCTATAGCTGAGCCCGAGGCTGTTTGCGAGACGTCAGCGATAGAGACGAGGAGTACCAGCGCGAATGGGTCAAGCAGCGAATCACAATCTGCGACAGACGAAGAGGCAGTTCTCGAGGGCAGCGGAGTTGTGGGTGGCAGAAGAAAGAAGCTTCGTGGATTCAGAGCCGGCAGGGCTCTGGTTCCCCCACAATTGACCCTCGTTACCTCGCCGCCGTCAAAGTCGGCCATGAGATCGACTCCGATTCTGGATGAAGCAACTTCACCAACTGGATCTACAGATTCGTTCCACAGCTCAAAGTCATGGCACTCGCCGGCTCAGTCGCCAATTACGCCTGTCCCAAGATCTCCTGCCTCAGACGTGTCCCCGACGAGGTTCCCATACCCTCACGATAATATTTTGATCCCTAAGAAGCCTTGGCACTACCGCGACATTTCCGATCTAACTGTCACCCCGGAGACTCGGCGAACTTGGGATGCGACTTCGTCTCTTACCGATGACAGCTCGCTAGAGAGCGCCGCCACGGCGCCAGATATGGTCTCTGAGGTGGTTGAGCAGCCTGACAAGGTTGCTCTCTCCGAGGATGAAGCAGCAACCACAGCTGTCGTGCGTCGCCCGTACATCCGACACAGATCAACCACCAGCAGTATTTCCGTTGGCCGTAGGGCGCTCTCCCCTCTACCGACAGCGGCCAACCTTTTTGCGCCCACGAGCACCCAGGCCAGATACCACCCCTTGAGAAGTCGCCTGGAACTCGTTCGCAGACTCCCCATGGCCATCGTATCCAAGACCTGTGAGGTTCTTCTGGGTCCGCCGAGTCATCTCATCGCCCTGATGCTCCAGGTGGCTGCTAAGATCGCCGCCGGGCAGTGGCGCGGTATGATGTTCGGGTTCGGCGAGGGCGGCGAGACGATCCCCGTGCAGTGGGACTACTCTGACGACGAGTACGATAGCTGGGGCGAGAACGACGATTACTATCTCAGCCAAGTCGAGTCATCGCGTGCGAATAGCGTGATTGGTACCGACGATGGCGAGAATGACGAGGCCACCGACAACGCGAACGGAACGGGTCGCGGGTGGGAGGTTGACTGATGGGGCCCCAGGAGGCATCAGTCTGTAATGATTTCATGTATGACCACTGTATGTTTATAATCGCCAGGAACTGCATCTAGGATGGGAACCTTTTTGGGCGTTTTCTCTTTTTGGAGAGAGTAAAGGAAGCAAGCTACGCGAAACGGGCCTTGGATCCTGGAGAGGTTTTCGCGCGTGCAGATATCCCGACAATGTGTGGCATCACATCCACGTTGGGTCCTGGTTCTTTCTCTCATGTATAAACACTTTTGGGAACGGTGGAAAGGGATAAGAGGGCACTTGAAGGGATTTTGGCCACTTTTTTGATTGGCATTACGAGGCATTTAGTCCAGTACGCTGGCCTTGCCAGGCACTATTCAGGGATGAATTCATTTCACGATTTCAAGAGCTTGTTACAGTGTCCTGCGTGTATTGCTCCTGAGTGTAAGCAGCCTCACTTGGCTCTCGGAACGTGAACCAATGAGAAGAATGGACTCAAGAGGCTTGGGCAGTCTCATGGGGTCATCTTTGCAGAGCGCTGCGTGCCGCATTGCTCATAGAATCCCCAACGAGCCGGTTAGTCACCGTCGAGCCGACAGCGTCGGGTACATCTTCCAGGTTGTCGACCAGACTATACCAAGAGACTGGGAAAGGCCAGGGGAACCCAATGAAGATCAAACACACGAGATATACGACGGGATGACAGCTGACAAGGGCCTACATACCGGGGCATGCACTTGGCTCTCAGGCTGGGCTGTCTCTTGGGCTGATTCAGGCATCTCGAATCTTAAGAGATTCGAGAAATGTTGCTCATCGTCGTCGAATCAAGGACCAGACTGCGATATTGATGAACCTTGGCTCTTTCGTGGAGTGTTCGAGGTGTTGTCAGTCGGGTCATCTTTCTGCGCGCGTCGTATTCGAGGGATGAATGCGATTGGTTAATGGCGACGCCTTGTGAGGCTGATCTTGGGGGGGCTTGGCGAGCGTATTCGTCGGGTTACGATTTCGATGCATGAGTAGTGGGCAATTGGAAGATTATCGAATGTGAAAGTGCATGTTTTCTACTGATGGACGAAACGGCCTGTTTCTACAAGTGTGTATGATGTCTGATGTGAATAATAAATGTATATAAGTCAACGTAGGACGGGGAGTCCTCTTCATCAGGTTATATCTCTCGAGACTCTAAAACTACAACCCAGTTTCTGAATCCTATGAAAACTCTCAGCTCCCCAGAATCTGCTTACAACTGGTTCTCTATCAACTGAAAAACGAGAAACTCCTAGAGACCGGTCAAGCTTGGGGAACAGCGGAACAAACATGGAGGACGGCAAATATGGTAAGAATGAACAACATTCCCTGGCAGGCCCCCTTTTACTTACAAGAAATCCGAAAGTCGACGGGAGCTACTACTTCTACGCCCCAAACAAAGCAGCACCCATCTTCTTCGCCGTAGCGTTTGCCGCCTCTGGTATATTACACTTTTGGCAGAGCTAGTAAGTCATTCAACACCCGTCTGCTGGGTCTGACTCTGGAATCTAAAGACCAAGTCAGCCAGCCACCCAGGAAGAGAATATTTTGCTGATTTAGAGACGATATGATAATCTAGTCACTACAAGTTCTTCAGGGTAACCGCCCTCTTCTCCTTCTGCTGCCTCCTCTTCACGGCCGGCTTCGCCGTCCGCACCTACGGCGCGTGGCACTACGACGACCTCAACATCTTCATCGCGAGTGTGTGCCTCATCTACGCAGCTCCGTAAGTACAGCCATACTTCTCAAATCTCCACCTCCAAAATGGGCAAAAGAGAAAACAAGATTACTCAACTCACCATTCTTCTCAATACTTCTAGACCCCTCCTCGAACTAGCAAACTACAACATCCTAGGCCGCGTCCTCTACTACGCCCCCTACGCCTCCCCCCTCCACCCAGGCCGCGTCCTCACGACCTTCGCCTTCTTCTCCAGCATCGTCGAGGCCCTGAACGGGTGGGGCGCTTCCTACTCCGCAAACCAATCCCTCACCCAGCGCGAACTAGAAACGGGCCACGCCCTCATCAAGACAAGCCTGCTCCTCCAAATCTTCGTCCTCGCCTCCTTTGTGGCTCTCGCCATCGTCTTCCACCGGCGGTGCGTCGCCGCCGGCGTAGCATCCGTGAGCGGCGTACAGGAGCCCATGGCGACGCTCTACGTCAGCGTCGCGCTCATCTCCGCGAGGACGTTGTTCCGCGTCGCGGAATACTTCAGCCTCGCTCGGGTCCGGTTCGACGCGCAGACGAGAGAGGGCGACGTGCCCCCCGCGATACGCTACGAGTGGTTCTTTTACGTCTTCGAGGCGAGCCTGATGCTGGCCAACGTCTGCATGTTTAATGTCAGGCATCCGAGGCGGTATCTGCCCGAGCGGTATACGGTATACCTTGCCCCGGACGGGTACACCGAGGTGGAGGGACCGGGTTGGAAGGATCCGAGGGCGTTTTGGGTGACTGTTGTTGACCCGTTTGATGTGAGGGGGTTGATGAAGGGGAGGGATCGCGGGATGGAGAGGTTTTGGGAGAGGGGGGAAAGGGGAAAGACGGTGTTTAATGTGTAAGTGTTGTGAGTGATGTTTGCCGTAATGATTTCGTGTTTCCGGTTTCTTGCTTTCCTCTTGTTCAGTTCGTCCTCGTCTGCAACTGTAGGCGGCCGGCCATGGTTGAATACGTCCAGACATTTCTGTCAACGGTCATCTCTCATCTGAGTAATTTGGCATGATATCCAAGTAGTAGGATCCAATACGAGGCGATTTCACCTCACCGCATAACCATTCTCGACGGGACTGAGCTCTTTGTCTGTACACCACCACATAGCCTTTTCATGGGCAACGGCCCATGGCGAGTAATGGATCGAGACTAACAGCATCATCGTTCCCATCTTACTCAGAGTAGGTGGTGCAAGTCAAACGACCTACTATTACTTACTTCGTTGGAAGAAGGTTTGAGGTCTAAACGCGGCTTAGAGAGAAGACACCGAACTCACCACGGCACAGTCAAGAACTCGTAGTAAGTCTCAAGATCGTCGACGCCTTGAATAGGTGGGTGGTGCCAGCACGATAGTCACATTTGGGATTGAGGCAACGCCGTTAACACCATAGCACACAGCTCACTCCAAATAATCAGCCATCACGTCCACGACAGAAAGATACAAGACTTCATGCAAACAAAATCCATGGGGTATGTCTCATTCAGCTACATTCCGTTTCATATAAAATGGCTAACACCAAGGCCGATGGGCGATGATTCGCATCCCTCACCCGTCTCTCATCTGCCTGATCCACTCACCATTTCCCAGGCCCCCCACCCATGGTATCAAGCGGGTTTATCCCGACAAGTACTTCATACGTAGGAAGGGAAGGTGTAAAAGAATACAGACAAAAGACGGGGAAGAAAAAACACCGCTTCCAACCAATCCGGCCTTCATAAATGCTTGATCGCTTCTTTTCTAAGCCTATTCCGCTCCGCAAAAATCATCCTTGGCCAGCACCTCCTAAATAGAAAGATCTCAGACCAGATAACCAACCACCGGGGTACAGGGAGGGCTGCTTTTCTTTTGCTGTCCTTTCCCACCTCCAAGAAGGAGAAACTTATGATGCCAATCTACCCAAAATGATGTCGGTGTGGTATCGCAAGCTGGTCAGTTCCGGCCGTAACAGCGAGTGACTGATTATCACCCGAATAAAATAAATTTGCGTTCTGACCCCCGGTCCATGACGCCTCGTGTACCTTACGTAGAGAAAATGTCAAAGTTCCTAGAAATGTTCAAGAAAAAATCGCCGGGGTGATGTCAACCATCTCTGTTGGTGCCGCATCTGGGCACTAGGTATTACCAGGCCATCGCCACAAGACTCTGGGAAACGAAAGTATAATGGTATCTCGACAGAAAGGGCGTGCGCTTGGACCGATAGTATGTGAGTTGCGCGTAAGATAGATAGATGGGTGGGTGATCATTGTCGCTCTCTCGTTATTCACGTATGGATGTCATTCCGCCGCCACTACCGCCTTCGAGAAGAGGTTGACTCGGTGGAGGCATGCCTTGGTGACTTTTGGAGACGGAAACAGACGTGGCAGGTGTGCCGTTCCCTGAACTGTCGCTAGGTCTTGCTGGCGTGCTGCTGCTGGCCTTGACTTCGTTTTGGAGCTGAGACGAGTGTATGGGCGAGTTCGACTTCTTACTGAGTGCGTCTGCGTTGGTGTTTGCGCCTCCTCGAGACGAATTGCGCGGTGAAACCCGTCCAACCTAATCCTGATTAATATCGTCGTCCTCCACTCGGCTTACTACAGAGGGCTCGGCGCTTCTCACCTGCTTTGCCCAGCGTAAACCGCAGCTGTTGCAGAGGTCTCTTTGACCACTAGGACCCCGTCGCCACTCGGGCGTATTGCGTGTATGGCAGTTGGCGCAGTCGCGGACGACATTGCCTACTCCCTTTCTCCTCTTTCTCTTCTTCTTATTCGATAATAGGCCACCCAGCTCTTCAGCAAGGATCCTATTGACCTTCTCCATCTGGCGGAGCTCGAATTGCCAGCTGGAGCACTTTGTCGTTCGCAGCTCGTCGAAAATGTTGTCGTCCGAGGCTAGAGCAGCATCCTGCGAGCCGAGCATCGCTTGCCCGCCCGGTAGTGACACCGGCCCGGCCTTTACGAGATCGGTGCTCTGTGTTGCGAGTTGCACATTCTGGTTGACCTGAGAAGTTGATTTGACGCTTCCAGGGGGTGTAGCCGCCGGTGCGATGCTCCTCGACGATGCTTTGAGAAGTTTGGTCTGCGCCAATAAGAACGTGGGCTTCTGACCATCTGAGGCATCTCCAGGATACAAAATGGTTTGTGCCTGAAGCACCTGTCCTCTCCTGTTGTGAACCTCATGTTTGCATGTCACTATTTTGCCTCTCCTTGCCTTTTCGATCGCTCGGCCAAATTCGGCACGACTCTCTCTGCGCATAAGCTCCTGCATGCTGGTGCCTATCAGGGTGTCTGGCTGCAAGTCGAGCAAAGAACGAATGTTAGAAGACACGAAGAGGAACATGCCGGATACCGAAATCTTGGTCCATAATTCGCTGTCGCCAATGCCTCCGTGCGCCTCGAGGTCTCGCCGGCTCAATGCGAAAACGGGTCGTTTTCTCCCTACCAGAATGATACATTTTCTACCTTTTCCGTGCTCGAAGAACAGGGAGCCGTGGCTTTCGAACCACGTGTAGCCACTTTGCTTCCGCCTTATGCGGAAGACAATGTTGACCGAATTGCCCGCCGTGGCGTCTTTGAGTTCACGGGTAACGGGCACAATATCGGACGGGTGACATACGGTCGAAAGGGAATTGCCTACCAGCTCTGTCGCGTCGTACTCCAAGACCCTCTTGCAAGAAGGTGATAGGTATAGGAACAGCCCTTTAAGAGAAAGAACGTGGACAACGTCGTCGGTGTTTTCGAGAAGCATCTTATCCCAAGACTGCTTGTGCCAGTCAGACACCACACCCTTGGGGTTGAATTGCTGTAGCAGGGTAGACACGTCGTCGACACCCAGCGTCTGTCCATTTTCGGCCTCGACAGTGTTTTGATTCGGGGGTGTCCAAATGTACTGGCCAATGTCGCTATGTTTGTAGTTGACCTTGACACCTCCTGCATCCTGGCCCTGAGAGATGGCATCTGGGCATTCGACGAGATCGATTTGAAAGCCAACGAAGAATCGCACCTCGTTGGGGTCGTCCCACGGG